CTTATAAATAAGATGTTTTGGTTTTAGTTTGGTAATCTCATATAGTTAAACACCAAGAAAATAACTAAGTGAGTAGGCTATAAAAAGGATGTAATTGGATTTTGGGTTAAGTTTTGAGTAAGGAGTTTTTGGTGACTTTTCTCATTTCGCAAGTCTCCCAGTTGTAAAGATTTATTTGATAGTGAATTAGGTTTAAAGTAGGCCATTTTGAGTTAAACCGAAACAAATATATTTGTATGTTCTTATTCTTGATTTGAGCTTGTTATTTTGTTCGTAGATACTGCGTGTACGTGTTGATTTCCTAACATGAACTATAATGGCAATTTTTACCAAGTGCTAGAATAAGATATGTTTTGATAAATAATCAAATTACCTAACCCATAAAACATATGGTATAGTAATACTTTGAATAGTGGCACAACGCTGGCTTTAAAACTCTGTTTATATTTGTGAAATCTTTATTGTTTCTAATTGGTGTCAATCTCATCTGGAAGACTAGAATTTACAAGTGCAATTACGTAATATTTTTATACTATAATTACTATTAAAAGTGAAACTCATTGCTCTATCTTTCTCTATGAATATCTAAAGTGCAAAAACTTTGGTATTTAATTTAATTTTTTGTTTTGCTCAAATGATATGCATTTGTTTGATATTATTTCTTACTTTAACCTTTATGTTTTTAGTATTATATTTTTTATGGCTAGATATTTTCGCATTACTTACATCATGGGAGATTTACGATCGATCTATTCGTTTGATTACAAATGGTATAAACTAAAGCTTCTTGACTTAGCTTTCGTTGCCAGATTACAGCTAATGGTTTAAAATATTTTTGCATCATGAGTACTTTGTGAGAACAAAGATTTGGTTAAACTTGTTTGCTTATTTTTATATTTTTGGTGTCAAAATGATATAAGAAGTTAAAGTTAAAGATTTGGTTTAGTCAGTTTTTATTATATGGAAGAATGAAATTTATGGATTTTAGATGTTAAAATTTTTATGCTTACATAAAAATAAACTCATAAAGATTTGGTGTCCACATCCAAATTAATTTCAATGTAAATAAGCTGAAGGGACCCACTAAACTAAAAAAAGAAAAAAAAAAAAGAAAAAGGAAAAAGCAAATAAAAAATTGAACTCCAATGCCTTTAACGTCATAAAAAACTTACAACTTTTATTGTATGGATTTACATATTTAAAATAAATAATTCATAATATTCCATAAAAAAAAAAGATAATTCATAAACTTAACTTTTATCATAAGGATTTACTTATTTAAGATTTTGATACCTTAGTTTTTTTGTTTTGAATTTTGTACAAGCAAAGATGGAGTTGAGATTTTTTATTTTAGGTATTTTAGATTTCCTTGCTTTATTTCTTTCTTAATTTTCATGTAAATTATTAAAATAACATTATTATTGGTTATTGTGTTTTCAGAAGCTAAGTTTATTTTCTATATTAATTGTTAAGTGTCTTTGCTTTTTTCTTTTCTTTTTTTTTTGTTGGTTTTTTACGGCTTTTAATTTGTTATGGAGTTGATTACCTAATATATTTATTTCTGTCATTTAATGTTTTTATTCTCATGTAATCTTTGAGATGGGATATCATGGAGAGTTGACAATATGTTTTATATCAATTTTATTATTTCAGTTTTCTAACTTAATGATTTTTGTAGTATATCTTTGAAGAATATTGTGTATACATAGGATGATTTTCAATGTCTAGCTTTTGGATTGAAGTCATCTATCTACTTAAGTACTTTTCAAGGCTAACACCAAAAATTGTAAAGATAGAGTAACATGTTTGGAGTCCTATTCTATAAGATAAAATATTTATTATTGGAAAGATCTTACTATTTGCACCCACTTTTTCTCTTTTATTGTTATAGTTTTTTTAATTATATTGATAATAATAATAATCTTAAGGCGCATGAAGAAGTAATAAACTTTTATCTAAAATTTTTACAGTAGAAGTTAGTTGACTAGAAACCCATATTTTGTAGCAAATTATCAAAATGTAGATTTGGTTGCTATAGTTGGTGATGATGGTGTTCTTTTGCAAGCTAGCTATTTCAGGCATGACTCAATTCAAGTTCTAAAAGTAAATTCTTATGCTATACAAGCTGAAGAGGTTAGTTCATTTCTTTGGTAAAGGGTTCAATTTGCATATTTTATATCAATTTTGAAATTATTTTCATGTTCTGAACTATTTTCTTGATTTTGATACATGTTGGTTAAAGATATCAAATGCTTTGAACCATTTAATAATGAGTTCAATGTTATTAGAAGCATCAGCTATGTATGTGTAAAAAGAGTAAAAACTCTTAATGAGTATATGAGTGTAGGTGTCATGGACCTCAAGAAGAGTCATGAATCTTACATTGAACATAATAGGAGGGTCACTGGGGTATATAAAGGTTTACACCATTTCCGTCTTGTGAGACGTCTTTTATAGGACAAAACCGTGAGGTCAGGAGGTCAAAGCGGACAATACCTCACAAGTGTGTGAACCGTGGCGGTTAGGCTGATTCGAAACACCGGAAGAGTGAATGCTCGGGTCACGGAGTCGTGCGAGTTCAGAGCTTAAGTCTCGACCCGTGACAAATGGTATCAGAGTCAGTCCTAAATCGTTCGATCCACGTCAAGCACCTCGAGGGAGGTAGGCAGGGTGGTCAGCCTCCGTGACAAGGGCGTCACGAGATTGGGTGGGGGAGAATGTCATGGACTTAAGGAAGAGTCCTAAATCCCACATTGAACATAATAAGAGGGTCACTGGGGTATATAAGGGTTCACACCACCTTTGTCTTGTGAGGCGCCTTTTGTAGGATAAAATCGTGAGGTCAAGGCCAAAGCGGACAATATCTCACAAGGGTGTGAACCGTGACGATTAAGCTGATTCGAGACGTCGGAAGGGTGAATGTCTGGGTTCCAGAGCCACGCAAGTTCAAAGCTTAAATCTCGACATGTGACACAGGCATGTACGTGTATATATACATACATATAAAGTGATATAAGGAAATTTATTGTGAGATATCATATATGAATTGATGTCTAAAACAGTATAAATTTAATGTTAGTTTAAGTTTTAAAATAATTTTTATTTGGAACTTACATATTAAGAAGTTAAAAGGGACCTTAAGTAAAAGCAAGAGATTCTGAATTTGCATGCATATTCTAAATTTAAACTTTATCATTTTCCTATACAGCATATTTACTAGAGTTCTGTTTTTAGCATGGTTTGTTTTTATTGATCAATTATGACAACTTGGTTCTTTTATATATTCAAATAGCATCAGGCATATTATTCTTTTCTAAATGGAAGCTTATTGACGTAATTATAAATATTTGACATTCCTATAAGATGATCATGCAGTTCCTTCCAAGATATTAAAGATATGATTATGAGTATTTATTGACATTTTGATTGCACGCCCATGTCGTACAACAATTTTTTATTTTCATTCAGGTAAAGTATTTTACGGATATCATTAACAAAATATGCATAATGTTACATATTTTAAATTATTCATTTTACATATTAGCATTATTAAAAAGGATAAAAAAAACACATGCTTTAAAAAGTTTTTGGTCAATATTAAATTTTTAACAAAATTTTTTTAAATGAGATAAACACACATGGTTATTTTTTATAGACTAATTAGATTACAAACAGATCATATTTGTTTTTGGAAAAATTGCATAAAAAATATATATTTTTTGGTCAGGTAATCTTTCAATTGCTTTCCATTTTTTTCCAATATGTAATTGTTTTGAAATGGATATGAAGGAAAACAATAAATTTAGTTTGCTAGCTTAGATGCGGTATATAGGAAGTTTATTTCTAACTTTTATATTAATAAATAAGTTGGTCAACAGAAAGAGATTTGCGAAGCTCCTAATCTCTCTTTTAAAGGTATGTTTTTATTAGATACTTTTCATCCTATAGTATTGCTTCACAATGTATTTAGTTGATTAAACTAAGAGATAAATTACCCTGTAATCTGCTTAGCTTACATGTATGATAGATCTTTATAGAATGGAAGCCGCGAGTACATAGAACAAGAATTTTGAAAATTATGCAAGAGTTTCTGATGATGAAGAAGCTGCATTAATCTTCTTGAAACATAATGTGAGTATCTTTAACAAGCTAATTACGTTGTTTGTGTACTACACAAAAATAAAAATGTTAAAAACAATCTAAATTATTTATACATACACTAAAGTTTGATCAACTGATGTTTATCTGAAAAGCAAATGATGTGGATATTGGCTTTGATCGTTCCTTTGGGTTTTGGTTCTTTATCAAGATTATTAGTGTTTCTTTAAATTATTCTTAAAATATATGGTTTGTACCTTAAAATTTAAAGTTGGAGTATCAATGACTCTTAAGAGTTTGTTTTAGTTTCCAAAACTTTCACCATTCCTTCCCCCGCAGTTGTTTTTAGCCCATGCAGTTGGGAGTGGTGTGAAGGTAGCATCAGTGAGACAAAGGTTAAAATATTTTAAAAATCTTGAATTCTTTTATTTTTTAAAAAATTTTATATTTTTATTGTAAAAAAATAATTTTTTATTTTTTATTTGTATCTGAATAAGTTTTTTAAATGAAAAATTAATTTATATTAAGTATTTATTTAAGTACAAATTAAAGATTAATGATTTATTTAGATATAAATTGATAGTTAAGAATTCTTTGAAAGTAAATTAAAAATTAAGATTTTATTTAGATATAATAAAAATATAAGAATTTAACTAAATGATCACAAAGAGGTAACATTGTGCCAACAACAATGCCGTAATGCTTCACTTGGGAACACTTTCTTTCCTTGCTTTTTATATCAGAAATTCTGCGCCTTCATATACAGCATTTGATCCCATAAATAATGTAACTGGAACACAATCGCCCACTTCCGAATCTAAATTGACTGTAAATAAGGATTAGTTTGCAATAATAAATAAATAAATAAATAAAATTATTCAATTACTTAAAAGACATAAATGCTGTAGTCGAAGAGCGTCTAATGCCATAAATGTACAACTTCCAGGATGTGGAGAAACTTATATCGTTTTTAACTAGTTATATCATAAATGCTTTACAATTCCTATCAAACTCCTCCTAAACCAAATTTATCACCTTAAACAAATTGACTAACACTACTCGAAGTAGAACCTTATTTGTCGTTAATGTGCCAAAAAAAAAAATCTTATTATTTATTGCTAAGTCTAACTTGTGGATAGCAGTTGGGTTTCATCCAACCAATGGTTGCAGAAGATATAAAAGTAATGTGCAATCAGAATCACTTTATAAAAGGCTTGTAACATAGAAAAAGTTTCAATGTTACCTATACATTGGCTATCTCTGGTGCGAATGAACACTGCCCCAAGCACTGCATGAGAGTTTTCAGATAAGGATTGGGAGAAACACTATTCGATTCAGTCTATTCAATGTACTTCAGTCCATGGGCATGATTAATTTCTGTTGGGGCAACAGAAGAACATTTACATTGATACACAATGAATAACTTCTTGATTGGCTATGCATAATTTCAACTAGTACAGAACAAAAGATGCGTCCAGATATTATTTCCGTCACATATCATGCCATGAATTCCATCGCAGTGGATGTTCCGAATTGAGTGCATTTTGTCTCAATGGTCTCTCCAAATCTTGTGAACTCTGTCGCATTGTCTCTGTAGAATTCTGTTGCCAATGCTGCTGAAGAACGCTGTCATCCTGAGTCTCAATTTCAGAACTGCTAGATGGTTTGGCACCAGTACTGATGAGGCTTTTAAACCAGGCTGCTTGAAATCTGGGGCTTCCTCTGTTTGAATTGCCAGAGGAATCATTACCACCACTAGAACTAGAAGTAACACCCACAAGGAAACGATACGCCACTTTGCTGGCTGATACTATCTCAGTCTTGGTTTGTCTCAACTGCAATAATTAACAGTAATGCAATTTTAAGCACTTACCATAGGAAGGTTTTAAGCTTCTAAGCTTAGGACATTTAACAACATGCATCAAAAACTGGACTGTACAAAGAAAAAGGGGGGCATTACTGCAATTTTCAGTCTACCTTCTATGCTTGTCAATTTACATTCTGAATAACAGCATAGTTTACATTTCAGTTTCAGGGAAATTTTTAATGCAAATTTAACACAACATGCTCAAAAGACTAGACAGCAAAAGGATGACAAACAAGCAGAGAATAACATTACTGCAAATTTTGCTTTTTAAGCATCTTCTATACTGGAAACATCAAGATAATAATGCAGTTCACAATCAGATGTTATAACCACCTTATCTGTTTTTGCAAAGTTTCAAGGCAAACACCTCCAATAAGAAGCCTTTGAAACAGACAAACAGTCCTAATAACAACTGAATACACCAAGCAATACTCCCACTCAAGTCAAGTGATATATAGAAAGAAGACTAAGTGATGTCAGGAATAAAGCTTATTACCACAGGCTACCCACACAAGTGCATATATCTGCTTGCAAAGTACAAAAAAATATACATTTATGAAAATGTCAGGTGAGAATATGTTTGCATGCATTGCTTGTTATAGTCCTAGAAATGTAGAGATTTTCAGCAGGTATGACAATCATGAACTAAAGGAGGGACTCTCACCCGTAAGGCAGTGTTTTCTGCTATTTCTATAGCAGCATCACCAGCATTGGCAAAACGATTAACCCAACCTGTTAAAATTTGTAAGAACAAGCAAGCCAGTGTAAGTTGAATTGATACTGACAAAAAAAAAAGCCCTATACAGTCTTACTGATCACATTTTATTATGTCAAAATACAGCCAGCCATGGGCCTGAATAATAAGTGAAGGTAATATGACTGCCCCTAGCTTTAAACCTAACACTAAGACTAAGGTAGGTAGGCCAAGCCAGAACCAAAAACAGTTTTTTCTTAGATATTCAGGTTTACACCAAAACAAAGATGATAGAAAAGGAGCAGCAAAGCACTAAGCTCATATTTAGCACTTACAAACTAACCATTGCCATTAAGCACAAAATTCTCCACCACTTTACATCAAGTAAAAGGCCAGACCTAAGTTACTTACCATGAGGTACCTAATTGTGTTCTAATATCATACTTGGTGTTCATTGAACAACTCTATCCAATTATGGAATAGTAATATTCATAAAAGAAAAATAGGCATGAAAAAATATGTTTCCACAAAAACTCAATCAAAAGGCTATATATTAAAGAACTTGGCCATCTGCCAGTGGGCTACAATGTTATAGGGATAGGCGAAGCAGTAATAACTAGGGATATCTACAGCTGTTCAACCCATCTACAAGAATACAACAAATCTTAACTTAAGTTTACCTGGAAGCTTTTGGACACCAAGCCTTTCGCAGAAGTCATCACAGAAGTGGTTACAATTTTTGGATAACAAGACGTAGGAACTTCCAGGCCACTCTCTACTAAGTTCCTGCAAGATCTGGTTTACCTTGAATATTGAAAAGTTAGTTCTTCCAAGGACTACAGACTCACGATATGTATACATTGGATTTTTGCCAGAAGGACAACAAAAAACCCCAGACCCTTGTTCACAGAAACCAAAAGACCATTCTTCATCTCCATATACCTGTCAACAGGGCAAATAAAGTTATCAAGCTTGACAAAAAGAAAAAAGGCATCAATAACAAATATATGATAAAGAAAAAGAGTCATGAGAAGTTGACAACCATAATTTATAAAACCACTCTCAGATGCCAAAATATGACCACATAAATACTGTTATAAAATTTTCACTTCAGAGAACTAATGTGATATTCTCATATGATATCCGTAAGAAAAATATTTAGCTATATACACAGGCATCTCATCCAATGGATTACTGAGATGGAATCAACAAAATTAGACCATAGAAAAAAACAATGAACATGTAAAAGATGAAATGAAATTAATGACAACCGAAACTATATTGGTCAAAAAGTGAAGATAATCATTGCCAGTTCCAGTAACTACAAGAAATCAGAAGATAAACTGTTCTCTTTGTCTTCCGCCAGTAACATAATTTAGTTGCAGCATTCTCCAACATAAAGTTATATAATGGTAAATTTTCTATAAGTTCTTTCAAAAATAAAACTAGAAATAGATATAAATAATCCACAAAAACCTAACATCTAGTTGCAAAATCCCCTATGGTAGAAAAGCTGCAGAACTTTTCACTTAAAACTTTGTAAAGCATAGTCCTCTGCTCTGTAACACCCTGGCCACAGCCGAGGATACTCCAAATCTCTGAGTTCTTTAGGTAACTTAGGTAAATTAAAATGATAAAATAGACTAACAAGATTCTCAACCTACAAAAGAAACATGGAAAATATAAATCTTTACCATGCAAAGTAACCATCAATTCCTTCTTAGAAGTATTCTCTTTTCCATTCCCAGCTACCTTGAAAAGGTTAAAACTACCCCTTTAGCCAAAATAAAGATTTAGAGCCCCCGTTTTCTTCAATAATTCTTTATCTACATTATACAGCAATACTTGAATGCACCAACCAGAACCACACATCTTGTTTAAAATCAGCATCAAATATTTGCATTACTTAAATGAACAAGTTAAACCCTAGAAATTAAACACCACGAACCACAAAAATTTCCAAACCAGAAACCCTAGATCTCTTTTAAGCACAACAGTAAAGAATGTAATAGAAATGCAAATCTGACAAAGAGAGTGAGAAAGAAGAGACCTGAACGGCGCTGTGGAAGATGCCGCCGAGGCCGATTCCATCCTTAAAAATCTTGTTGATTTGAACAATCGTGCTGTTCGTTTTATCCGATCCACTGTTCGTCACATCGTATATATGTAATCTCACCTCAGTCATCCTCACCCCCAAAACCCTAACACTCCTCTCTCTCCCTCTGTCGATTCGAATCTTCGAAAACCCTAATCCCTACTCGATATTTTTCTCTCTTAAAGCTTCCAAATCAAACAATTCAATTCCGTTTCAAAAAAAATTCCTCTCCTTAGTGTATCGCACTTTGCTTTTTTGCTCTCTTTTGGAATGTAATGTACAATTTACGTACCAGTGAAGTAATTCTTTTTCCGCCTCGAAATGCTCAAATCCCGGAATTTCTTTCCAATTCTAATTCTAAAGATTAGATTCTTGTTTTTGGCCAATCTCCGGGGAATATCTTATTTTTCTTTTTTTAAAATGTTTTTAAAGTTTTTTTTTTAAGAATTTAGACCGAAAGACTGTAATTGTCCGGAGTTTCGGTTGTTATGCAAGAAGGAGGACATTTTAGAAGGAATGTTACCGAAATTTCGAAATGGCCCTTGGAAGTTGCTGAAACTTACGGAATGGTCAGGTTGTTAGTTATGTCTACTCCATCTTTTTACAACAGTCGGGCACTGAGGTGATGAATGATCCGTAAATCGCAACCACAAGTTGGACAAGATGCCCACGTCGTCACGTTATGCAATTATTAAATCCTACACACTAACATATTTTTTTGAAATTATATTTATGCCCTCCGCAATTTGAACTTTGAAGCAATATCCCGCCTCTCCCTTTTTCGTGCTGTTTTTGTGCAAAAAAAATTTTATATTATAAGATCTTTTTCTAGCTTTTGGAAATAATTGAATTTCATTATCAAGTATTTTGTTGATTTGCCTGCAAAGTGAATGGTATTGCGGATTTTAACTAAGGTAAAAAATAATATGAAAATGTTAATCCTATTAGTTAAGATGATATTTGTAAAAAAAAATATATTTGATATAATATTTTTTTAATTTGATTAAAATAGTTTATTAAATGCAAATTTTTTCTTAATCTAATATTTAATTATTTTTTATCAAACATTCAAATATTTGATCCAGTCAATTATGACACTTTATTTGAAAAATTCCTTTTCTAAATAAAAATATATTATTAATCAATATTTATGGAGATTCATGATTAAAATAAAAGACAAACAGGAATCCATAACATTGTCATTCAAATCACATTCTGATTCATAACACGTTTTAATAACTGTCATAAATGTTATATTTAATAAATTTCATTTTTAAAAAAAAAGTGAATAAACATTGTCATTTTCTTTGGTAAAATTTTGGTGTTCATTCACGTACCAATTCTTCTTTGTTGAAATTTCTCACGTAATTCTTTTTTAGGTTGATTGTCAACATTTTCTTTCATCACTTCACTTAACCTGATTTTTTGAAAAGGTATGAAATCAAATTAAAAGAAAACATAATGGCAATCCAAAATTTTATCTACTTTTTCAAAAAATTTCAATCTATGAAATTTAAAATATAAAATTTTAAACCACAAATCATTCAATCAAATGGATATAAATATATCTTTATTATATCACATAAATAGTGCAATAAGTTAGTTATCTAACTTGATTATATTAAATTCTATGGAAAAAGACTTACCAAGTTGCTTCTTTATTCATTGAAATTACCTACACTTGAACGAATTCAAATTGCAGAAGAACAAATCCGGAAGATGCAATATACGCTAAGTAATTAAATCTTTTTAAAAGATGTGTTTTCATTTGCAAAAGATTGTCAACGGCATTTATTAAATTTCAAAAGATTTAAACTAGATAAATCGATTAAACAAATCAACACAATTAAAAAATTACAATTGTTTACAAATAAAAAATAAATAATAATAAAAATAATTCCAAGACACGGTTACAGTACTAAGCGATCTTGGAATTGTCTCCGCATTGGATAGAATTCTTGCGGCCACGTTTGTCGCTTTCTTGACGTTGTCCCTTGCCAACTCCTTGCGTGTCAGCTTTGGACACCTGCACGTGCATAAAGAAGGCCAGGCTCAATGGCATATAACTTTGATTGATGTGGATGATCAATTATTTTAATATGGGCAGATGGGAAGCCAAATTCCGAAGTGTATCATTTAGACTAGGGTACATAGGGAACTTTTGGTGGGCATTTCTCTTCTCCCCTGGATCATCACTTTTGCCTCTACTTGGGCTTATCTCAGAGTCTTAGCATCCATCATATTCGGCTTGGTTCGTTATCTATCGGGCCATCACTAATCAAAAGGCTGTGGTATAATTTGAACTCAATTAATAATAACAAAAAGTACTTTTTTCGCTCAACATTCTAGCTTTTAATCCTGATAATAATCCTATGCCCTTTCTTTTTATTGTGGGTGAGGGATCACTTTGCTGTGTACTATCTTTTATGGTTGTGTCTTCTCTGTTGGAATATATAATTAGCATTGTGTTGTCTTCCCTGTTTGACACTGGCAACAAACATAAAAGATGGGGTTTAGATTCCTTGTTCTCACCCTTTCTTTTTTCTCCTTTCGAAAGGAAAGGAAGATAAGATTGAGTGGCTCATTTTATGTAATACTACCTCTACCTCTCATTGTGAAAGACACAATAAAAAAAAAGTATAAAACCAAGTTGCTTATGTCATAATAATAATAATAATAATATACAAACTAATTAAAAACTGAAAAATATTGGTATGACGCCCCTTAATTGCAGACTTGGGCAAGTTGAAGTCATCTCAAAAATTATTGTTAAGAATCAATCAGATTTAGAACGATAACTTGACGACTACGTTAATTTAGAATATGAGCTCCTTTTGCTCTGATCTGGACTCCAATTTGAGCTTGCTCTTAACATAAAGGCAAGACAAGTCAAAGCAATTTAAAGGCGCAACAGACGCAGGTGCAGTCCATCAAGACACAAGGGATCAACAGCCACTAATCTTCAACCAATTCAGCTTCGGATAACACAAGGAACACATCAAACATCTGGAATAACCAGTTACGAAAAATAATAATATGTTGAGTGTTTCTTTGTCTGCCTGAGATTGACCAAGGCCCAAATAGTTAAGGGCTACTAAATTCATGGCATTGCTAACGTCCAAAATTAGAAGTCAGCAATTTGAACATAGATTTATTCTCTTTTTTTTTTTTTTGAGAGACAAAGAAAATGGGCATATAATTTGGCTTGCACGCCCATTTTGCACATGTATTTGTTCTTGATAAACGTGGTATATGCGCCCTGCTCAATATATTATAATTATAGTAAGTCTTTATTTTATATATGTTTTATGACATTCTTTGTATATAAAGGTAGAATAATTGCTTCAATTGGATTATAGGCATTGCAAAAGAAGAAGGGGTTCAAGCTTCAAAGATGGTCGAAAAACTAAGGTGCTTCCTAGCTAGGATTAACGTAATGAAGATGGTTAAATCAGCCATGAAGCTGTTCGTAATGCTGCTCTTTCTTGGATACATGGTGCTGTGGATCATGATGCCCACGAAATTATATTTTTAACATTGGCTGCCTGAAATCGGTGCAAAAACAAAATCCTCATACTTTGGACGACAAGGTATCAAGGCAGTTCAGATTACAGTTTCCTCGATCTGAAGTTCTTTTTCTGTATTTGGATGGTTTTTCTGACTTAAGGGAATATATATATATAGGTCCAACTATGTTGATTTACACATTTCCCATCCTCTTCATTGCTACAATGGCCTGTATTTACCTTCACTTTGGAAAGAAAGATGAAGATCACAACGTTGAGAGGTACGTACATATCCATATACGATCAGTACTTTTTTTTATTATTTCATGTTTTATATGTTATATACTTGAATAATTAACTGCTGCCGATTTCTTGGGAACAGAACGGTCCCCACATCTAAGTTTACCACTTTGAAGCAACCAGTGATCGTGAAAGGTCCTCTCGGTATTGTTTCTTGGATGGAGCTCTCATTTTTAACCATGTTTGTTGTGCTGTTAGCTTGGTCAACCACTTCCTACTTGAATGGCATGTTTGCACATATCAACCAAATGGCTGCAAAGACTAGACTGCTAGTGTAAGAATCTCATTCCACTGAATTTTAGTAGTCTCTAAATTAGTTCCCAATGGGGGGAATAATTTGACGGCAGTTTTGGTTTTCCTGGCAGGTGGGAGGCTAAGTTGGAGATGTCAGGTCTAACACTTGGTCTTGTAGGCAACATTTGCCTAGCTTTTCTCTTCTTCCCAGTGACTAGAGGATCTTCAGTTTTGAGGTTTATTGGCCTTACCTCAGAAGCAAGTATCAAGTATCATATTTGCCTTGGGCATATTGCCATGATCATTTTCACAGCTCACGGTTTATGTTACCTTATTTTCTGCGCCAAGACAGAACAGCTGTCAGAGGTAAATAATGACATTCTTGTTTACTTTTTGTAAGTTCTGAAGTAATCATTTCAATATGAAGGTGTATAATATCACAATTTCTCTCTGCGAAAGAGCAGCTAAGCAAATAGCATGCACTGTCTATCAGACACTCCAGGTTCCAGGATCATTGACCTTGAATATCAGAACACAACCAAATGTGGAGAACTGATAACCATAGAAGCATTTTTGGGGAACTTTAACATTGCTCCACTTCACCAATTTTTAGCATCTCATACATATTTAAATGATTATCTGAAGTTGCAAATTAGATTATCGTGCTAATTATCTGCAGGCGCTTAAGTGGGATAAGGTTGACGTTTCAAATGTGGCTGGAGCAATAGCTTTGCTCTCTGGATTAGCCATGTGGGCAACAAGCCTCCCACAAGTAAGGCGCAAAATGTTTGAGCTCTTCTATTATACTCATCATCTCTACATTCTCTTTGTTGTCTTCTTCGTCTTTCATGTGGGGTTCTCCTATTCTTGCATCACGCTTCCTGGTTTCTTCCTCTTCTTGATAGATCCATCTCTAAGATTCTTACAATCCCAACAAAGGATTAACTTGGTTTCAGCACGTATTTTACCTTGTGAAACTGTTGAGTTGAACTTCTCCAAGAGCCCGGGTAAGTCAAACTTGTACTCGTATGTTGACAAAATTGGCAATCTTTTTCAAGATACTAGCTGGATTGGTTTCATAGACCCTATTCTTGCTTATTCTGGCAGAAATGAGTTACACTTCAACAAGCACTCTTTTGTAAATGTACCTGCCATTTCCAAGCTGCAGAGGCATCCCTTTACAATTACTTCCAGCAGCAATATGAATACTGACAAGCTGAGCATCGTCATCAAAAGTGAAGGGAGTTGGTCTTCTGAGTTGTATCAGAAGCTTTCATCTCCTTCATTGATGGATCGTTTAGAGGTCTCCATAGAAGGACCTTATGGACCTGCTTCAACACATTTTCTAAGGTACTTGCGGCCATAACAACATGAACTCTGCCCCTGTTCTTGCAATGATAAATATAGAACCCTTTATGCCTACTTCTTACCAAGCAAATAATAACATAGAAAATATGCACTGCAGGCATGACACACTCGTGATGCTGAGCGGAGGTAGCGGCATTACACCTTTCATCTCAATTATCCGAGAGCTCCTCTTTAAGGCCAATAATGGTAGCGGCAGGATTCCACAAGAAATCTATTGATCTCACCATGTTGGAATTGCTACTCCCAGTTTCAGGCACCAGAGTAGATATTTCCTGCTTGCAGTTGCAGATTGAAGCCTATGTAACAAGAGAAAAGAAGCCAGCTACAGATAACCACAAGCCCCTACAAACTGTATGGTTCAAGCCTAATGCATTAGATACACCAGTTTATGCAATTTTAGGCCCAAATAGCTGGCTCTGGCTTGGAGCCATAATTTCATCTTCTTTTGTCATCTTTCTTCTTCTCATTGGCATTCTAACACAGTACTATATATACCCAATCGACCATAATTCTGATACGATATACGCTAGCTCTGCAAGAGCTGGTCTAAACATGTTGTTCATATGCTTCGCCATAGCCATAGCCATAGCCATAGCCATAGCCTTCCGCACCAGTCTTTACTCCAAACCACCGAGGTCCATTATGGCGAAAGACCTGACTTGAAAAGTAAGTTATTCTTTCTATAATCTGACAAAGGAAACTTGTTGGTGACAGAAAGTCCATTGAATTTGTTGAATTAATGACCGTTATGTATGAATATGTGTTATGACATCCTGCATATGTTACATGTAACAAATTCTAAGTTACTTGACACTTTTTTTTCTGTTTGGTTGCTGGCAGAGATATTGTTTGAACGCAAGGGAACCGGCGTTGGAGTTATTGTAAGTGGACCGAGGGAAATGCGGCAAGAAGTAGCTGCAATCTGTTCTTCTGGTTTAGCAGATGATCTGCATTTTGAGTCGATTAGCTTCACCTGGTGAGCAGAGGAAGAATCGTCCCTCATTATTTTTTTTTTTTTTCCTGTGCTTTTGTTATCAAGCATTAAAGAAAAAGGGTTAAGTAATTTACTGCAAATGTGATCCCATGGGGATGAATCATTCTTCTTGACTATATCTGTAACATTAGGAGGATTTCGGTCCATTGTGAATATATATACCTGTTGGATTTTACCATTTCTCATATGAACCCTCCCACTACGGTTTCTTATTGCCAGTTTCTAAAGCATATAAAGAACCCTTTACAATGAACAATAAGGGAAAAAACATGAAGAGGAATTTTAATTCAATGCCCGACTCATTTCTTCTTAATGTGAAAATTTTCTGCATGAGGATGATTACCCTCTGGATCAGGCAAGGATACATTGAAATGGAGGAGCTATGCAAAGTTTACAACCAAGATTTTGATTAAAATTTACTCCAATTATTTTTGTTAGTGCCACGCTGTCTTGACAATCATTAGAAACCTAAAATAATAAGGTGAGAGGTGGATTAATATCAAAGGTTAGAAGTTTTTTCGATGTTTGTACTTTGACATTCTAAATCAATGCTCAGATTTAAAAAGAGAAAAAATAAAAAAATAAATGTGAAAAGTTGAAATTCTTATATTCAAGAGAATAAAATTATTTATACAAAAGGTAATGAGCCTAAAAGTGACAAGATTATGATTAACATTATTAACCAAAATTAAGTTGATAGTCAATAATCCAATAAGAGATAACAATTTAACATCTTTATATAATATTAAATGATCAGATGAAGTGATTGAATTAACATGAAATTTTTAATTAAGTTATAATTTATATTAAAAACTAAATCATCATCTATATAATTAATATTTTAGATTTTTTAACTTAACTCTAATTTAAAAAATAACACTTTTAGTTCTTTTCAATTTTTTATGAAATGATGTGAGTGATAAATGTTTCATTCATTTTTTTTAGTTTTTTAACTTTTAATTTTACTTTTTCTCTTTCTTTCTTTTCATATCTTTTTTTTTTGTTTTAATTTTTTACTTTTTTTATTTTTTTCAACTTTTTCCTTTAAAAATCTTTAAAAATCTTTTATTTTTTAATAAAATATGTAATAATGGTAAATGTCCCAAACACCTTTTTATTTTTTTATTTCTTTTCGTCGTACCAAATTCTTTTTTTACCTTTTTTTGCATACTTTTTTCTTCGTATTTTTTTCTTAACACGTAATTTTCAATTTTTTTAATTCGTTTTCTTTTATTTTCTTTTCAAATTCCCTGATTCTATTACAATTCTCTAAAAAAAAAATTTTTTTAATTTCATTTTATTTCATTTCCTTTTTAAATCCTCTCATTCTCTCACAACTTTTTTAAGAAACAAAATTAGACAATAATCATAATAATGGAATGAAAAAAGCTCCGATGAGAACGAGAATCAAGAAAATATATCTTTATATTTACCTTTAATTTGTATTTGCATATTTTATATATTTTTATTATTTATCTCTAAAAAATATATATTTATATTTATCTCCATGTTATCCATTAAAATTTGAAATAAAAATTTTACTTTGTTTCTTGTTTAAAACATAATTTAAAATAGAAAAGTATTCTCAGTGAAACACGACATTTTGACGGCATCAATACTGACTCTTTCTTTTAAATACCCACTCCTTTTTTTCTATACAAATTACCCATTTGTTAAGATTCATTTTGTACACAAAATTATGATAAAATAAAATAATATTATATTATAAATTAAATTAAATTAAATAATATAATCTTATTTTATATTTATTTTGTAATATTTATCTTGTATTTAATGTACAAAATTTAAAATAAAATAATTTATTTATTGATCCAAATTATTTTTTATCAAATTTTATAAATTCAAATTATTAATATAATTTTTAAAAATATAATAAAACATGTAAATTTAATTTAATAAATTAAAAATAATTATTTCTATTTTAAGAGAATTGAATCATCCACATCAAGTAATGTTAATCCTTTTTGTAATCATATTTCTTTCTTTAAATATAAAAATATAATATAAAATAATTATCATCTTTATCTTATCAATCACCTTATACACTAAACATAATTTTAGAACTTCAACAACTAGCATGTACCCAGCAGTATAAATAAGCCCTTATACAATTGCTACTCTTATAAAAGATGAAATGACTAAACTAACGAGAAAAAGCCCAATTCAATTGAAGCATAGAAAAAAAAAAAAAAAAAAAAACCCTTAAAATTTCTTTCTTTAACCATTATACCTCAATTACTTCATAGAGGCATTGACAACCTTCTAGGCAGGAAAGAAATGACCATTAAAACGAGTAAAGAGGGGAATGTAGAAAATGAAAGGGGTAAATGAATACCAATCCTAGGAGGATAAAAAATTTTCTTCGCTAAGAGTGGATACCAACCAAAAAATCAGACAGAATTTAGACGCATCCTATCCAATAAATGGAAATGATAAAAGGCTGAAAAAAAGAACTCCCACCACCCAGCAAATACAGCCGGAATAGGTAAAAGAGAAAGACATATACCTCTTCCAAGTTACATATCTCCCTTTCCAACCAAATCCTCTCAAGGTTGAATCTTAAATGGCCTTATCTTCACTAGCTGTCCTAGGTGCATCATCAGGCCTCCTTGACGAGACGCCAATTGCATTAGTCACGGTTAAAGAGTTATTTGCCACATATGAATCTTCTGCATTATATGGAAACGGGCGGACTGCAACATCTGTATCATACCGCCTCACTCGATGAATCATCTCATATCTGCTGCCACGTTTATCATCATCACTGACATCATATTTACACCCTTTACCACCAGCAGACATACCAGGAAATCTTCTGGGTTGAATCATGGGTCTTAAGTAATCATCAGAATTCAATCTTCGAATGGGGCGCACTTGATCGAACCTTTGACCCTGCCGAAACATCCTCACAGGTGATTTCCGGCCCCTAAAATGGTCTAAACCAGGATTTCGATCATCAAACATCCTGGAATTTCGCTGGGGTGAAATGCGACTTCTAGGTAGGGATATGAACTCCTCACCATAATCTGCAGCAAAACGCTTTGTAAATGGCAACCTCACCCTATCTATTCTAGCATCAGACCTAAAATCTGGTGACCTGCTGCGACGTCTTGAACCCTCATTTCGATCCCTCTGCAATAACCAACCATCGGGTGAGCAGCTCCTTGATCTTGACCGATTTCTCTTGTAATGTACAGTATAATGAGGCCTTCCACCATGGGGGGAAATGCTTCTTTCTCTCCTGCCTAAACGCATGCGACTTAAATGTTCTGTGCCATCATCAGGTACATGCCTGAGATATTCATCTCTGATGCCCCTATTAAACACTTGTGAATATCTTCTAAACCTGGTCCGATCAGGACTAGTATCCCTTACAGTTGGCATTCTTCGATGCATGCAGTAAGAATCATCTCTTTCAACTGGTGATCTTCTTCTAAGGAGAGGTCTGTATACACTATTGGAGGAGCCCATAAATTGCCTGCTACTGCGGTTGTCAGGTCTTGCAACACCAGCAGCTTCTGAAGGTGCTTGATCTGTGGCCATAGGATATCCACGGGTCTCAACAACACTTTTTGGTCTGGGGCGTCCAAAATTGTGAGAGCCATGATAAATAGGTGCATGCTGCCGCTTAGAATCCCAATAATTAGTTGAAGGATTGAAAAAGTGACCACCTCCTGGGCTTCGGCCACGCACATGTGAAGTAGATCTATCCCTCCTGAAAAATTTGTCAGAACCAGCCTCCCTTTCAGCTCGAGCAAATGAACCATCAAAATTGTCAGACCTGTAATATTCAAATAATCAGATCAATCAATCAAAGCTAGAAACATACATAAAAGATAAGAGAAAATGGATCCAAAAATTTCACCTGCTTCTCTGAACAGCATCAGAGGATAATGATCCTTCAGCAAGTGAAAGCAATTCCCTTTTCGATACCTTAGAAATATCTATTCTAAGATCATAATCTCTAGCATTAGACCCATCCAAGCAATCAATTTTCTTTGTTTCACCATCAGGCACTTCCACATTTCTCATCTTTAAGCTCATTGGATTGTCCCTTAAAGCCTCTCCAGTTTCGCAACATTTAAAGTTTCCAGTTACATCAGGACTAGATCCTCTGTCTACCTTCAATTTCTGCTCAACACTCTCAGCTTCCAGGCTGAATGATCTTTCTTCCTCGAATTCAGTGTCATAGTCCACCTCTTCAGCTTCCTCCCAACATCGAACATCTGACTCCCTCAACTCCCCATCCTCAAATTGTGAGTCATAACCAGCCTGAAGTTCTGAGTGGTTTCCCAAGCCAACTGTCAATTCCTTATCTTGAGAAGAAACAGCTGAGTCGTGGCTTTCTTCAAGAGTATCATTCAGGTTGGCCTTATCCAAGTAGCTTGTAGGACCATTAACATTGATTCCACATAACTCATGAGTGGAACATCCACCAGCTCCTGAAGTAGCATCGGAATTTCCGGAAGACTTTTGCAACAGTACCTCAGACCCTACATGAGCAGCAGAATCAACTTGAGCTGCATAGGCTGAAGAAGCTTCATCTGTTCGGTCCATGACCTCCATAACACAATCATCTGATATGGACATATCTTCAGACTTCAGTGAAAAATGGCAAACGTCCATCTCTTCTACCTCATTTGCATGCTCAACTTCAAGGGATTCTAGAGGCTGAGAATTGTCCAGGTCCTGAGCAAAAGTTCCAACATCATGCAGGCCAAAATCTCCATCATGATCCTTATCACCTTTGTCAGCACTTGTGTTCTGAATGTCATTAGCAACCGTCTCTAAAGCTGGTCCACAGGGAGAAGCAACATCAGACTCTTCTACCTGAACACTTTCTACACTAACAGTTTTGCCCAACTCTGACTCAGAAATACACCCCCCCACCATGTTCAACCCAACATTCTGAGTCAATACTGATATTTCTCGGTCTTCCTCAGACACCCCTGTGCTCTTATCTGATCCAGGACAAGGAGAATGACTAGGGCATTGATTTGTGTTTACTGCCTCATTGGAAGCATTTGTATCAACAGCAGTGGACATCAAGGCATTCTCAGCAACAACCACTGGCACAGGAACATGTTCAGTTTTGTTATCACTGGAGCCAGAGCATCCTTCAGATTCCTGTTTCTCTCTACTCAAATCATCAGTCTCAACAGGCATGGTTCTCAAGTCTGAAGTCACCTTGTTACACCCATCAATATCAGATGACATCGCTTTTCTCGTATTATCATTTTTAATATCTTGAGGTTCCTTAGTCTGCAGCTGTTCACTTCTCACAGAAATATTATCAACAGCATCCTTTTGAGAATCAACATTCCCACCATCGCAAGCCCAAGCATCCATTGAAAGATTTAAATCCCAAAGTAACCTATCATCTGGCAAGGGAATAGATGTTTCAGATGTTGTATTATCCTTATCACTTGGAGATTCATGCAAAACAGCAAAGGAATTCTCATGGAAAGATGAACCCTCAGTTTTACTTTCATTTACCGAATCTTTTGGTGAGCAACAAGCTGTCTCGAATGATACAGTTGTTTCTTCCAAATGCATTGCAGAAGCAGAAGACTCAATTCTCTCCTGTGTTGATTCTTCAACTGATGGATTTCCCTCCTTTTCAATAATATCATCACCGATGCTATCACTGCAAGCAGCAGTTGCGAGTATTTCAATCCCTGAGAAATCCTCAACATTTAATAAGTTTGAAAACTTCTCATCATCAATACTAGCAGCAGTTGACTTGGTAAAACAATCAGATTTCATAAGCCACAGGCTCTGAGCTGAACTTGAACCAGAATTTTGACTCGAAGCAGGTTGAAAGTCTACATGCTGTCCAGAGGCTTCAAGGTGTGGAGAAGGGGTCAGTGGGGGTGGTGGTGACAGAGACCGGAACATAAATCTCCTTTTCTTTATTGGAACATTCCCTACTTTTTCACTAAAGCGCCGTCCTAGAACATCCACACCAAGCTGCTAGTGAAAATACAGAGAATTAGTTGAAACAAGTGAAAACAAATGAGCGTAGTTTTATAAGTACAAAAAGAAAGTGATTTAACCTTCTCTGACTCTGAAACTGTAACATCTTCAGACATTTTGCCATTTTTATCAAGTAGCCCCATTCCTATTGTCAAGCTTTTAACACCTGGTTTCCTTGTACGCCTCGTTCCACTCCTATTCCCCTTTGACACTGTCTTCCAAGTCAAGTTGGGGTTTATAAAATTTGTGAGTTCCAGACCTACTGTGCTCATCATGCCTGAAGATACAGACCCTATCCCATCAACTAATGGTCTACCACTACAAGTCTTGCAGGATGCAGTGGCTTCTTGCTTACTACTTGACACCAGCATAGAAGGGAAACTCCTGGTGCAAGTACAAATATCTTTCTGCAAATTATTAAACAAAGGATCCAATCAAACATGCATTCCATGCTAAAAATGAAATGAGATAAAAATCTGAAGCATAGAAAAAAAAAACTGAAAAAGAAAACTTTTCATTACTGGTACAAGAATAAAATAAATGTCAATTGGTGCAGAATACTTTTATCAAGTTTTGTAATTTTTAAGTCCATCACACCCAAAAATTTTGCCTTTTATGGAATAAAATAACAAGGCCAAGAAACTTACAGTTAATTGGGTTCCTCCAATCTTGTCAGATATTTAACAGATCAGATTGCTATAAAGAGATCACTGTAAAACTCAGTCTTCAACACATTAAGTGCCTATCCTGCCTGTAAAATAACAACATCAAAGAACAAGATCAGCCATATATACAAAAATAAATACAAACAAAGGGACAAATAAACAAGCTTAAAACATCCAATCCACTTAATAAAAGAGATTTTAATCATCTATATTGAGCCCAAAACTGATAAAAGGACCACCAGCGTATGCCTCCACAGGTCATTTACCTTGAGGCAGATGATGTTAACAAGTTTTGATGTCCAGAAAACTTCCATCAATTGAGAATGTAACATTGGATAGAATTTGTTCCAAATGCTCGGAATCAGGGTTATTTAAAAGCAAATATATATATATGCAGTAAATGTTTGATTAAAAAAAAAGTGCAGTTACAGTTTTGACAAACTGTGTTCTTTGCTGCAAAATTTCCACGTAATTACTTCTAGTAATAATAGAAGTATAATTGTATCAATCTAGGCCAAAAAATAAAAAAGAGAAATGGCAGCCTAGCTACTGCATGTCAAACCATCTGCCTCGCAGACTGACCATGGGCCATAAAATCAGTAAAGATATCCTACTCTCCTTCAAAGGACAAACAATATTCTTCCCTTCAACAATCCTACGCCTCATCTCAGCAGCTATAGTGTTTTCAGTTTCACAAGCAAGAACTGGTAGGCTCCTTAAATCAGAAAAAATAACCCAAAATCCATAGATCCAAATCATATAAACATGAAACACCAAATTCATCAGAAGATAAACATATCAGCATCGCATAGGTAAGCAATCAGTCTATCTACTCAAAATATAAACACCCTAAAAATTTCTTTCTAATCAGTCTATCGCCGCAGCAAGACAGCTTCCAGAATAGTCTCTAAGTTTTGATTTGCCAAGCAGCTAAGTCGATTTCGATGGAGTCAAACTAAAGTAGACAAATACCCTAATTCTTGAAGCCTATAATTGGCCCAGAGCAATGGTGACGCCTATTTTTATGAAATAAAAGCTCCTTGCACAAAAGCTCCTGCAGCTATTGATGCCGAGAGCCTTATGGACAAAAAATCCCCAGTAGTGAAGAAGTTTTTAATTAATTCAACGCCCCCTACATCTAAGGTTGATCTAGATGAAATCCTCTTCTCTTCAACAAGTTTCTTCAATGAATTCTTCAAAAAGAAACCCTAAATCTGCTCATCCTCTGATCAAGGTTCTTTGAGATCTGACCAACGCCGAACCGAACGGGGAATCCAGTTCTTTAAATTTTTGAAGAAGGGAAAAACAACCACAAACAAAGCGTAGAAATTCAAAATCTAGGGTTTTTTTAATACCTGTTTCCTTTATAAAAAAAATCAAATAAAAAAATAACAGTCGCCTCCGCCAAATTTGATGATTTGACGAAATCCTTTGCCAGATTTAAATCACAAATCGATCGCATCAAAACAAATCCCCTCACAACTCCTCCGTCGATTCCGATTCCGATTCCGATTCTCCTCACCTTTCGTTGTTATTTCAGTCATAGAAGAGCAAGAACGCCTCTTTATCAAATAAATAATGACCGTCCGATTGTCGGACCTTCAATCTGGACCTTCTCTCTTCCGATTATTTCAATCTTTCTTCTTTTTCTTCTTCTTCTTCTGGTACAGTGGCAGGCGTCTAGCTTCTTCCCTGTTTGTATCAACGCTAAAGATGCCCTATCACCACGTATTTAAGATGAACTTTGTACCCATTTTGTCCTTGGCTTTTTAGGTGTTCTGTCGAAAATACCCTGATTGGAGTCTCACAATTTAAATTAGTACTAAAATTTTTTATTAAAAAAGAAAAATAAATAGAATTCTGGAACCTCGATTTGGGTGCTTTACACAGCAAAGCAAATAGTCAAATAGTGAGCAATCAATTACAAAAGTGTTGGTATTTATCTTTTTTTTGTTGTTGTTAAATTACTTATTGGCACCGCCAATTTCCAAATTTTTTCCTTTTTTTCTAACTTTTTTTTTCTCTCTTTGACCCATCAACTCTTTCTATATAACAGGCAATCCCCACATTTATTCTTTAATTACCTTTTGAAAAACAAAATAAAATAATTAATATTACTACCAACCAAAACTTTTTTTTCCAATTAGAACATTGAGAACTACAAATGGAAATAGCCGTTTTTCTTCCAAGCAATATAAACTATTTTAGCAAAATGTTCAAATAACCTTTTTCTTTTGGTTAAAATTGGACATCAAATGAACTGTTTTTAAAGTCCATTTATAGTTGAAATTAACCTTTAAATTTTATTAGAAAATTACTGCAGTCATTTCTTGGCATAGAGGTGTAAATGTGAAGCCAACTTGGTTTCCATAAACCATTTCTATTATTAGAATGACAGAAAAGGGCAATGGTGTTTCATAGTAAAAATAATCAAATTTCAAATGAAAAATTTTTTTGAACTTTTTATACCCAACATGCTGCAAATGTAAGTAAATAAAATTATATATTGAAATTTTAATTTTTTTTGGAACAAAAATATTTTATTATCAGAAAATATATAAAATAAACAGCAATTTTTTTTTTTTTTGTAATGGTAAAATTCTAAATATCTTGTAAATTAATTTATTTTGGATACCTTGCTTGTGAATTTATGTCCTTTTCATTTTGGGTTCCACTTTTCGCTCCGCGAAACCGCGTGACTTTTATGCCACGGAAGGAACCCCACCCTCTCGTCTTCTCTCAAGTAAAGAAGCCCCATTGGTCAACCAAAGACAAAAGATTCCCCCTTTGGCTCCTGAAAATTAGTCCCGTTGCATCTCAGCCTTCCACGTCAGTAGACGTGGCCTACTCAATGGTTAATTCGACGGCCCAGACGTAAGCGTGTAGCTGCGTCTGTGATTAGACCACTCTATCATGCTTTCTAACACCAAAGGCCCCGGCAAAAAGAGTAACGCCGTTATACGTGTTAAGAGCACTGGCTTAATCAATCATAATCATGCATGCTTGCTTGAATTCAGCCGGTGATTATGTGATCTCTGAATACCTTCCTAATCAAAGAATATTAAAACTTGTGTCTAAAAGCACCCATGTTTTCTTGAATCGTAGATCAGTCGCATCCAAAAATCTAGTAAAAAGAAATCATCCAGGCCAGGCCAGGACTTCAGGACTTGAAGCAAATTAAGCTTTCAAAGAAAAATCTTACTCATTCAATGCTAAAGCTATGAGGCAATGTCTCTGCCTACTCTTCAAAGTCCAAAGAAAACATCCAACATGAAGTACTTGGAACAAAAAAAAAAAAACATTAATTACGCTTCGACTCACATCGTCTTCAACCACCTTAGTCTTCAACCACCTTAGGTAGGAAAGAAAAGATAGTTCAACTCAATTATATATAGTGACCCAAGATAGATGAGAACAAAGATGCATATTTGTGCTAATGATCAAAACCAAATAATCTCAATCCTATGTGTCTCTATTCCAACAACCGAGTGGCCGAAAAAAGACACTAACCAAAAACAAAAGCGGAAATTTCTATGCCTGCATGTGTGCATGTGCATGTGCATGTGCATGTGCAGGTGCAGGTGTGTGTAGGTGGCTTAGGAAAGATCTCAATCTATCTGGCTACTTACAATAATCAAGTTATGCCAAGATTAGCCATGTTCATGAAGAACCTGTATTTATAAAAACACAGCAACTTAATAAAAAAATACATATCAATGTCACCTATATAAAAGAATATCGCCACATCAGACCATAACTATAAATTGTTGTCCTAGATCCCCTCAAAGTGGGGCAAGAACATGACCAAACTACAAAGCTGCTTTTTATATAGGTGAGAAAGAGGGAATAAAAAGCTGCAAAAAATTTATGACATCTAACCGCAAAACTAGATAGTCTGCGAGCTTGAAAATCAACTAAAGACGTAATAACACTTTGCAAAAATGATAACTTCCTTAGCAGGGTTGCCTGTCATCAAGCATGTTTTTATCCGCTGGGGCTGTTCGAAAGGAAACAGCAAATCATTGCCCCTGTTTCCTCTTTTACTCTTAATTCATCAGTATTGCTGCACCAATGATAGAAACACATTGTTAGACCTACAAATGCATTTGTCTCAGAATATGCTATCAAATGAATAATAGTCAAATAATTCTGATATAGTTATTATCTAAGAAAGAGTACTCGACCTAGCTGACCAAGGACCCCTAGCCCATTTGCCCAAGGATATTGCTTCCTTGAGTTCTTCATAAGAGCTCACATCCACAATGTTACTGCCAAAAGAGTCAAGGAAGCATTGGAAAAAGAGCAATGAACCCAAGAGAGAGCAGAGAAACAGATACAATCTATTCCATCCATGTAGTGACTGACCATGAAACCATAAAATCTATTGCTGATTACATGAATCTAATAAGACAAAATGACTTAAATAGTACTTAGAGCCAAGGTCAGAAATTCTCATAATGAATTTTTTATCATTTCTGGCAGTGTAGATAATAGAAATTTGCAGGTAAAGACAGTGGCAACACTTGAGAGTACATATAAGAAGGATATAAAGATATATCATTTAATCAAGACATCAATTCCACTCATTTACTTTAGGACTCTAGATTGATTATCCAATGAAAGATGTCAAACCAGCACTTATATAGGTTGTTTCCCTAATTCTTCAGGGGTGATCATTGAGCTGAAGACGGCTGGTTATGTTAGCTCTGCAAAACAGGAGGCTAGTCATACAGTTTAAGATCTGCTGTTTACAAATGAAAGAACAGATTCCCCAATTCAGTAATGTAGCAAGCATGCTTTAGCTTGACATAGTTATCATATCCATATGCAATGGTACATTACTAAGCTTGATTCCAATCTAAAGATTAGACACTATGTGGCCATAATGAGCAACAGAGCTAAAAAAATCTGTTATTGGTCAAACTCTGCTTGGCTTCAAACTGTTAATAATTGCTTGAGCAAGAAAACACACCTGTCCCGAAAAGATATTGCCTTCTGAAGAAGAGATGATTGGATCTCATCCAACCAGTCTTTGACATAAGCTTCCAATATTGAAGGTTCCATAGATATTCCAAAAACTTTCCCTTGCTCCCCATGAACATCTCTTCTCGACATGACCACACTCCCACTTGAAACATCACGGGGACCAATTTCAATACTCAGAGGTACTCCTTACATAATCATTATCTAAAGCTTGAGGCAGCTAAAAGTCAGCTCTACAAGGTAAAAGGAGAGAGAGACAGACACTTGTGTTCTAAGCAAAATAAGATCAGATTACGTTGCATAATAAAATAATTTAAGCACCCCAAAACAACACGAGGGACAGATAAAGATTTCATGCATGCATATATTCTGGATTTTGGCCAGGTTTCATGAATTTTCTAGGGGTTTCCCCTATAACGACTTGTCAGTTTGAGCAAGATCCTAAAGTTGAGGAATAAGCTTTCACACTTCAGAATAACCAATCAAAGAGTTACCACATTTAAACATAAAGAGCATACCTTCATCTCCCAGAAATTGAACTTCCACCTGGTTGTCCTCTGATCTGCATCGTCAAGTTTAACTTTACGTCCAGCAGTTTTTAGAATTTCTGCAACAGATAATGCAGCATTTAGAACACCTGTTTTCTCCTCAACCTTCTTCCAAATAGGTACAATTACCACCAGGTAGTGTATGATGGACAACATAAAAAGATATCATCAGTTGGTTATATCTGCATGATCAATTGAAAGATAAACAACTGAACCAAGAAAATAAGTAACAGTGTTACTCCATATGTAACAATTAGCAGATGTAAATGAAGATCATTTAAAACAGCCACAACTCCAATAGTTTACAAGCTAGTGATATACAACGAAAGATAGGGAGAACAGATCAATATCACATCTATATTTACAAGTATCTTTTCCATTATCTAAGATCAAGCAGTCTCATAAGCATCAGACTCATTAGTCAGTAATAACCTATTGAAACACCAGTCGAAGTTATAAAGGTACGCCCACATAATGATACTGCTTTATCTTCACATAACATGATTGAGCTATAAAAAACCTGGATGCTGCGTATGGACTCCAATTATCTACAAATTTTCTTCTTTTATTTTCCCCCTTTTTTGCGTATTATTATTTGTAAAAGAATATCTCCAAGGGGACACCTAGCTGGTGGGAATTTCTTACTTTGAACTTGGACATATCAAGTTCAAATCTTAGGAGGAATAGGTGTCCATAGGATGAAGGAAATCTACTCCATTTTGTCACCCAACGCCCAATGAGCACCAATATGCAGGTATAAACCCACAAAATGTGTTGTCAAAATACTAGTAATAACACCACCATTACTTTTTCTATGAGCACACACACACACACACACATATATATATACACTCTCCTTTCTACCTGTAGAACATGTAACAGTCCTAGTTCTCCTAATATTTATTTGCCTTAAATATGAAAAAGCCGTTAAACAAAATTAAATAATTATTCAAGTCCCTATTGTTTTCTTGCAATCAATAAAGATCTCAAACATTTATTTTCATTAAATTGAGCCCTTAAAACAAATATTTTCACCCAATCAAGCCTTCAATTGGATGAAAATTGCTGTTGGTGATTAACCAATTTTCATCTAATAAGGGCTCAATTGGTAAAAATAGATGTTTGAGGGCTTAATTGATTATACTGAATTTTGTCCGAGGCATTTTTCAACATGATTGATTTAGAGCTCATTTGCGAACATGGACCGAGTCCATTTAGGAGGACCATTTACGACCTATAAAGGGCTCACAAATTTGACTATTCAAAAATCCAAAGTCAACATGAGTCAAATCTGATCAAACAAAGTCAAAACTGCACAAAACTTGATCAAAATGGATGAGACTGGATCAATTTTGAAAATTCAAAACCTAATTGAAATCAATATGGTTTAAAATTGAATTTTAGATCTTCTCAAAACACTAAAATTTTCATTGTGCCCTAGGTAGGCAAAATTACCAAAATACCCTTATAGAGGGCATTTCTATGATTTGATCTTTCCGAGCTCAGATTTTTGTGAAACTTTTCAGATTTTAATTTTATAATATTTCATGATTTTAGTGCATTTAAAATCACAGCAATACCCCAGGAAAGGTGAAATTACAAAAATACCCTTCTAAGGGTATTTTTGTAATTTGGCTTTTCCAAGTTCAGATTTTCATGAAACTTTTCAAATTTCAATTTTATAATATTTTATGATTTTTGATGAGTTTGAAACCACAGCAGTACCCCAGTAAGTTCGAAATTACCAAAATACCTTTTAAGGGGTATTTTTGTAATTCGACCTTCCCGAACTAGGAATTTCACGAAACTTTTCAAATCTTAATTTTATAATATTTCATGATTTTTGGTGTATCTGAAATCATTGCAGTACCCCGGAAAGTGTGAAATTACCAAAACACCCTTATAGGGGTATTTTCGTAATTTGAACTTCCCAAACTCGAATTTTCACGATACTTTTCAGATCTTAATTTCATAATATTTCATGATTTTTAATGCTTTAAAATCCCAAAAATGATAATGTGAACATTGATTTCTAAGAAAATGAACATAAATACCAAAACTTTGCACCAGGGGTAAAATGATCTTTTCATGGATTTGAGGAGTATAAAAATTCAACCTTACAGTATTTAATGTGGGCCATTGAATCTTGTGCCAACTTTTGATTCAAGGGCCAAAGGTGGCTCTTTGGAAAGAAGAAAAGGAGGAGCTTTAACCCTTGGATGAAAGCTTTGACCCTTGGATGAGATTTCATCCAAGGGCCCTCATTGGTCAAGATTGAAATCTTACCTTTCTTGGAGCTTTTGCCGATTGAATAAGAAGAGAGGGGAGCTGGTTGGAGAAGGAGAGAATAGAGAGGCTTCTAGTAAAAAAAAAATAGCAAAAACACAAAGAAAAATAAGCTAAAAAAATAGAAAAAGTTAAAAGGTGAATAGCCCATACAATGGTGCATGTTGGTTGTTTATATCTTTGTTCTTACTCCATTTTTGTACCAGCCATGATCTTTTCTGCAAAGTATTTTCATGTGTTTCTTACATGCTTTGACGTTGGTGTGAATGTTGATAAAATTTGAAACTTTATATGTTCTATTTTTTTTAGCAAATGGCTGGAACTTTATCTCCTTTTTCTGGTATTACCGAACAACTTCTGCCTCCTTAGATGGCAATAGCAGTCGGCCTCCTTCCATAAAGTATTCCACCTTTGTTTTTCCATTTTTCATAAATAATCCTTAGTTAGCCTACGCTGGAACAAATAAATCAATTTGGAACAACCAAACCGTACTGCTTAGCTCTCCATGAGTAGTCACGGTTTAGATGCCTTTCCACATAGCCATGGATAGCCACAATTTGGAGGCCATTCACACAGCCCCACTTATTTGACATGAAAAGAAAACTTTAACAAAAAATGGCTTCCAAAGAGGGGAGTGATAAGTTATTGGAAGGGAAAGAAAGGTTTAAAAATTAGAGCTTTTCTTACAAGGCTTTGTTTCACGATTGGGAGAGGATCTTATAAAAGTCAAAGCTTCAAGCTTTTTGTTTTCTTCTGATTTCTTTCTTCTGCATCTTGTCTTAGTTTATTCTTGTTATTGACTATATGAAAAATAGAAAGTTGAAAATAAGGCATGTGTAGGGGGAGCTTCACATGAACTACAAGTTGTTCCATTAGTAATTTTTTATTTGCTTGGCATTTTGCATGCTATTTGTTTATTCCATCAGTGCATGAATCCTCTATGAATGTAAAGAAAATATTATAAACACTATATGATCCCACCATTATCTTGTTACTTAGTTTTCTTGGTGTAGGGATAGTTTTATATACATTGCATGGTTTCCTTGACCTAATAGTTGTAAGGGTGGATTAATTTTTCTTTTATCTTTTGCATGATGGTTACTATTTAATCTAAAAAATATGATAACAAATCAAATAAGGCTAAGGTGGATAATAAAACAATTAGGGTATAAGAATATTTAAATATCCTTTTGCATAATGATTTTTAGCATGATAATCATGTTTATTTCTTGGATTATGCTAGGTTTTGAATGTTTAATCTCCTTATGCATGTATTAGCTTTTAATTTGATTTGTTTATGTTCTTTGAATATATTTTATTTATTTTAATTATTATTTGCATTTCAAAAGTTTTTGCTAATAATAATAATAATTTTATGCTAAAAATATATAATTAGTTATATAAAGAGTTTTAATTAATTTTTAAAACAACTATAAAAAAAAGCTTGCTCCGAAAGCCTGCCTAGATGTTAGAAATTTTTAGAAAGGTTTGTAAATTCTCAAAATTTAAACCCAAATCTATCCTAAAACCTCAAACTCGTTTTAAATTTATAAAGATTTGCATTAAAACTTTTTGTGAAGTAATCTGTTCCCGAATGCTACCTAGTTGTTGGGGTGGTTGGTGAAGGTTGTTTAAGGCCAGGTGACTCCATCTTGAAGATCATATTTTGAATTCAGCTATTGGTGTATTTAATTCCCTCATTCTCTTTTGAGCTCGCCCAAACTTTGGTCACTGTTCAAATTACCCAATGCCTTAATATGCTCGAAAAAAGTATTGAAACCAACCAGAGCCAACTGATTTTGATTTGATGGAATCGAAAGTGACAACGATCCTTGAGGAGCAACAAATTCACCCATACCACTACCTTTAACCATCTCTGATAATTGAGCGATTTGTTGTTTCATCCCCCGAAGCTCGAGCCCAAATTCCTCTTGATTCAACTCCATCACAGTAATCCTTCCTTCCAATTGATCTCTCATTTTCACCATTCTAATTTCCACCAAAACAAACACTTTATTCCGAAACTTAGGCCAAAATTTTATATTATTACCCTCATCAAATGAATGTCACGGAAACAATTTCTAACTTATGTGACACACAGCATGGTTATGAACACATGAATATGATGATGTAAAAAATGTCATGAAATGCAAATATGCCTAAGGCAAATGAATTTTCACATGTACAAGCCTCAAATAATAAAAATTTCATCATCCATGAATGTACATGGAAGGAATGTAATGTTATGTTGCAGGGATTGTGGTATATGAAATGCAATGCATGTTCATAAAACCCTACCATCCATGAATCCTTATGCATGAAATGCAATAACATACTTATATGAGTGATGAGATATATTCCTCTGACTAATGCAATGTACTTGTATAGAATGCATGAACCTATCAAGTGCACAAAATGTCTACTTGAAATACAATGCATGTGTTGTGTTGGCCTAATGAGGTTGACACTACCTTAAAATATGTGATGAGATGGAGTGCATGCACCACCTATTAAAATGTGCATTTATGTGCATGAAATTGGATGTGTGTACTATCCACTGATGTAAATGAGATGCAATGCATGTATTATCTTATTATGATGTATATCAGATAGGATGCATGTACTATCTATTAAGATGCATGGGATAGGGTGTATATACTACCTCATTATTTTTGCTCTTCTTTTTTTTTCAAACATGTTAAAAATGTATGTAAAAGATCAAATGAAAATATGAAAGATTCAAATTTAAAATTCTTTTTTTTTTTTGTTGATGACTAACCTAAAATAAATACTCCATCTTAAAGTATAATAGCTATATAATGTAAACAACAAAAACAAAGAAAACAAAATGACTCAATAATTCAAAACAAATAAATAATACAAACAATATAGCAACCATACAACAAAATAATAAAATGTATAAAGTGTCCTAACTTTTGGTAATTTTATCGAGAAAGATGGCATTGCTCTATCCTAGGCTAGATCTTTAGGGTTCACGATATGCTGGGTTTGGATTTATATGTCTAAAGGTTCTCAGACTATTACTTACATCATCATCCATCATAAACTAATAAGACTTCCCGATCCTCACCCATTATAGGCTAACAACGAAAATGGTTCAATCTGAGTGAAAGTGTTTTGCTAGCAAATGCGGAGGCTATCACCTTATAAGAGCGTAACTACTTCACCTCTTCCTAAAAAGGACGGAGCCCGAGTCTAAGGCTCATACATGCAAATGAATATGCAGAGTGTGTGCAAGATGATGTATTAGTTGTCGTAATGTATCGGTCCAGAGACTCAATCGCTAGATGTAAAAATTTGAAAATATCTTGAAAAACATTGGGAGTCGCCACCATTTTTTTTTTTAAGGTGTGATTGATCACGCAAAAATTTTATCTTTTCAATAAAACAATAAAAAAGCTTTAAAGCTTTATTAAAAAAGATAATTTTGGTCTGCGAAAACAAGATCAGGTTCAAGAGTCGGTTACATGTGGAAAAGGATTAGCACCCCACAACACCGCAAAAAATTGGTACCAATTAATTATGCGCTATTTGTAATTTTGAATAAAAATGGTTTTCTCTATGAAATTTAATTATAATTCCTTTTGTTTATAAGAAATAAAATTAGTTAAAAAAATCTTTTATTGAAGAATATTAAGAAAATCTTCAAATTAAAAAAATACCTTCAAAGTATCCGACATAAAAGTAGAATTCGAAGATAGTTTTTCCATTTAAAATTCATCATAGCATTCTTCCTAAAAATAAAATAGCATTATTTGTAAATAATAATTATTGATGATTCTCCAATATCTAGACAGAGTACCAATCAATTATATTTCATAGAATGCTATTTTAATTTTATTTGTTAAAAATCAAAAATTTTAAGAAAATTTTTTATGTGGTAAAAAATTGAATGTAATAATATAATTAATATTAAACAACCATAAGTAAAGCAAACATATATATATATATGTACATTATAAATGAAGACATTAATTTAAGAACGAAACATATATAAAATGATGATCAAGTGTGAATTTAAAAAAAAAAATCAAGTTTTCAAATATAAAAGACCACCTGGACTCTCTAACATCTAGGCAGAGTTTATATGCAGATCTTTATATTTAAAATCACATCCTATTATCTTTATTATTATTGTATTTTTATATCAAGATTTAAACAAAACGAATTTACTTTTAAGTCATGGAAATATATAAAAATACTTAATGAAATAAAATTTCCTAAACACTACAACGTCTAGGTAGCATTCGGGAACAGATTACTTCACAAAAGATTTTCATGCAAATCCTTATAAATTTAAAATGAGTTTAAGGTTTTAGGACAGATTTGAGTTAAATTTTGAGAATTTACGAACCTCTCTAAAAATCTCCAACATCTAGACAGACTTTCAGAGTAAGCTCATTTTTATAGTTGTTCCAAAAATTAATTAAAACTCTTTATATAACTAATTATATATTTTTAGCATAAAATTATTATTATTATTAGTAAAAACTTTCGAAATACAAATAACAATTAAAATACATAAAATATATTCAAAGAATATAAACAAATCAAATTAAAAGCTAATACATGCATAATGAGATTAGACATTCAAAACCTAGCATAATCCAAAAAATAAACATGATTATCATGCTAAAAATCATTATGCAAAAAGATATTTAAATATTCTTATACCCTAATTGTTTTATTATCCACCTTAGCCTCATTTTATTTGTTATTATATTTTTTAGATCATATAGTAACCATCATGCCAAAGATAAAAGAAAAATTAATCCAACCTTACAACTATCATGCCAAGGAAAACATGCAACATATGTAAAACTATCTTACACCAATAAAGCTAAGCAACAAGATAATGGTGGGACCATGTAGTGTTTATAATATTTCCCTTACATCCATAGATGATTCATGGACTGATGGAACAACTTGTAGTTCCTGTGAAGCTCCCCCTACACATGCCTAATTTTTAACTTTCCATTCTTCATATAGTCAATAACAAGAATAAACCAAGACAAGACCCCACGCAGAAGAAAGAAACCAAAAGAAAACAAAAAGCTTGAAGCTTTGAATTTTATAAGATCTCTTACCAATTATGAAACAAAGCGCTAGAAGAAAAGCTCCAATTTTTAAACTTTTCTTTCCCCTACAACAACTTATCACTCCCCTCTTTGGAAGCCATTTTCTGTTAAAATTCTCTTTCCATGTCAAATAGGTGAGGTTGTGTGAATGGCCTCCAAATTGTGACTGCCCATGGCTATGTGGAAAGGCATCCAAACCGTGACTGCACATAGAGAGCTAAGCAATACGGTTTGGTTGTTCCAAGCTTATTTATTTGTTCCAACTTAGGCTAACTAAAGATTATTCATGAAAAATGGAAAAGCAAAGGTGGAATACTTTATGAAAGTAGGCCAATTGCTACTACCATTGAAGGAGGCAGAAGTTGTTTGGTAATCCCAAAAAAAAGAGATGGAGTTCCAACCATTTGTTAAAAAAAAAAAAAAACATTGAACATGTAAAGCTTCAAACTTTATCAACATTCACACCAACTTCTAAAACATGCAAAAACCACATGAGAAAATTTTGCAGAAAAGATCATGGCTGGTACAAAAATAGAGTAAGAACAAAAATATAAATAACCAACATGCGCCCTTATATAGGCTGCTCACCTTTTAACTTTTTCTATTTTTCTAGCTTCTTTTTCTTTGTGTTTTTGCTTTTTTTTTTTACCAAAAGCCTCTCTACTCTCTCCTTCTCCAGCCAACTCTCATCTCTTCTTATTCAATCAGCAAAAACTCCAAAGCAAGATTTCAATCTTGATCAATGAAGGCCCTTAGATGATATCTCATCCAAGGGTCAAAGTTCCTCCTTTTCTTCTTTCCAAAATGCAACATTTGGCTCTTGGATCAAAAGTGAGCACAAGATCTACTGGCCCACATTAAATACTGCAAAGGTTGAATTTTTATGCCCCTCAAACCCATCAAAAGACCATTTTACCCCTAGTGTAAACCTTTGATATTTATAGTCATTTTCTTAGAAATCAATGTTCCTATAGTCATTTTTGGGATTTTAAAGCACTAAAAATCATGAAATATTATGAAATTAAGATCTGAAAAGTTTCATAAAAATCCTAACTCAGAAAGGCCAAATTACGAAAATACCCCTAAAAGGGTATTTTGGTAATTTCACACTTCTTAAGGTACTGCTATAATTTCAAATGCACCAAAAATCATAAAATATTATGAAATTAAGATCTAGAAAGTTTCGTGAAATTTCGAGCTCGAAAAGACCAAATTACTAAAATAACCCTTAAAAGGTATTTTGATAATTTCACACTTCCCAATGTACTGCTATGGTTTCAAACTCACCAAAAATCATGAAATATTATAAAATTAAAATCTGCAAAGTTTCACGAAAATCTGAGCTGAGGAAGCCAAATTATGAAAATACCCTTAAAAGGGTATTTCAGTAATTTCATCATTCACGAGGTATTGCGATGATTTTAAATGCATTAAAAATCATAAAATATTATAAAATTAAGATCCAAAAAATTTCACAAAAATCCGAACTTGAAAAAATCAAATTATGAAAATACCCCCTATAAGGGTATTTTGGTAATTTTGCCCTTTTCGAGGCACAATGAAAATTTTAGTGTTTTGAAAAAATCCCAAATTCAATTTTAAACCAAATTGATTTCAATTAGGTTATAAATTTTCAGAATTGACCCAGCCTCATCCATTTTGACTAAGTTTTGTGCAATTTTTACTTTGTTTGACCGAATTTGACCCGAGTTGAATTTGAATTTTTTAATAAGCAAATTTGTGAGCCTTTTATGGTCATAAATGGTCCTAAATGATCTCCGCCCATGTTCGCAAATAAAGCATGGATCAATAATGTTGAAAAATGCCCTGGACAAAATTCGGTGTCTACAATGATTAATCAATTTTCATCTAATAAGAGCTCAATTGGTAAAAATAGATGTTTGAGGGCTTAATTGATTACAATAAAACAATAGGGGCCTGGATGATTATTTAATTTTAGTTCAAGGGCTTTTTTATACTTATGCCTACTTATTTAACTTCAGAACATAATTACGGATCAATGAGTTGCATGAAGATAAATAAATAACTTCTAATGTCCACAAAGTAATTTGCAAATGAAGCTGCCAGTATATAAATCATTCAGTTCCACCTGACATAATGGACCAATCCAAAAGGGTCCCAAACTGTATTTTGCCATAATTTCTTCAAACCAATAACATTTTTTTTTTTTCAGAAAACACAGGAAATGCCAAGATACCAATCGCTATGATCAAATAGCAGTCTCAGCCTCCAAATAATTTTATGTCAGCAGCATATTTACCATTGCCTTTAATGAGAAAAAGACCAATCAACTGATGCCAAAAACAGTTCAGGCCACCTATTACAATTCACCACCTAAAGGCATTTTTACATACCTGTATTGGTGCAATTTTTGGAGGAAGCATCAGGCCAGCATCATCTCCATGGGTCATGATAATACCACCAACAAACCTTGTGCTTATTGCCCAAGATGTTTGCCACACGTGTTGTCTTTGTCTATTTTCATCAGTGAACTTCACAAGCACAAGTTTCAGTCAAAAGCCTTATATTGTTTATGGAGTTTACTAATACAAAAGCAAACAATAATATGCAACAAAGAGAAGCACCTATTCATATTAGCATTTGAAAGGCCTATCAAAAATAAATATTGAAGAACAAATTTTAAACAACAAAAAGCTGTGAGCCCGCGGCAGGACAACTTAACTAGTATGAAGAACATCATCCAACCTATAGTGTTTAAGAAGTGCAATAATTTATAAAAAAAAAAATTCACTTACCTTTACTGACTTTTGGATTGACTTTCTCTAAAATGCTAGGACCAAGAATAGAGATAATAAAACACTGAGGATACTAGAACCATGAAAACAGGGGGAAAAAAGGAAACTAAAGCTACCTACGTCTGAGGATAACAGACAACCAACAAAAGATGCCTAGAAAGTGTCTTTCCAAAAAATGTAACCCCTACAAGCTTCATCCCTGTACACCAATATATCTATACGCATTTGCCTGATCAAAGGGTCTTTAAGTGAAAAAAAAAATCCATGACAGTACCCTCATTCAATAATGACTCAAGCTTTAAAGATTTAAACAGAAAGATAGCGTGTTCATCTTTAAGTTATGTGAAAGTAAATATTAGAAACGCACTGTTTTCCAGCAATTTGCTCAACATTATACTCCGTTTGTTGAAAAATTATTTGCTCCCTGAACACGCATCCATGTTAGGATTGGAAAAGAGATCCAAAAGGAGCACCTAGTGTATCAATTAACTGTGTCCCAAAAGCACGGGAGAAGTTTTGCCCAAGATTGTGGCTGGTTCCAGCTTGCAAGGCCTTACGATCACCCATCATAGCCTCTATTGTGTAGGTTTTATCAGCACCAGCAAACACTTCCACTTTAGATTTTCGACCTGCAATTACAGGTATTGCAGCTTGCTCATAAGCAAACTTCGTATAGACGTCAATCATCAGTAGTGCCTGCAGTTCAGTAGCCCCCAATCCTTTAAATAAAAACATTACCATAAAAATCATCATGACTAAGCCATAGGTAAAGTGGCATAAACCTCTTTTTCTGCCTCTTCTGGTGTGGCATGAGCAGTGTGACCCTCCTGCCATTGAAATTCAAGAGTCCTCACAAATGGTTTCGTGCACATCTCCCATCTCGTGACATTTGCCCACTGAAGCATACAAATCATAAGAAAACACGGGGAAAACAGTGAGTGGAAACCTTGCATAAGTGTACAACCAGGGTACATGTAACTAAGCTTATACCAGATTAATCATAAGAGGAAGATCACGATAACTGTGAATCCACTGTGTAAACATATGATTTACAATGGTTTCACTGGTAGGTCAAACCTGTCACAACCTCGGGAAGTACAACAATCAAAGACAAAACTCAGGTCATGCCATCATGGTTACTCTTGAACCAGCATTTTCATTAAAAATTCATTAGATTGTAATGCATTGATAAGACCCAGTAATCTTGTAAACAAACAGAATTAAGCTAAGCAATACTATGTTTACCACAAGTTTCTCTTCGAGTTCCTTTCCTCCTCCAATTGTAACAAGAGCTAATTCTGGACTAAATCCCTCAACATTGCTAGCTTCCTTCTCTAAAAATGAATATGGAATGAACTGCAGTCACAAAGTAAATTCCATTAAACTAGTAACATAAAGAAAGCAAAGCAAATAAACCAAAGCAGAGTTAAAAAATTATACAAAAAAAAAAAACCCCAAAACTGTGGAAAGTACATGTTACTGTGCCCAGTCTCCTTGAATTTAACATTCCAATAATCCTGCAGTTTTTTCAAAATCAACAAAAAATTTTAAAAAGAAAAAGAGCAATGGAAGTGTAATAATTAGTGGTGAAATTAGAAGAAAATGAAGCGACCTGAATTGCCTCCCAAATAGCATAGCCATAGGGGCGAATAACCATGGTACCACGAACGGGACCATAATCAGCTAGCTCAGCATTGGCAATAACATCAAGGTACCAAGCATTGGTGTACTGAGACCGAGGCGTGATGACTCAGTCCCTGTTCGCTCGGTCCTGGAGTTGGCTACTATTCTTGTTGTCCACTCGGTCCTCGGCTTCAGGTGGACTCGACGCCGAGCTCGGGGAGGAGAACCCCGAGGCTAGAAGGGGACGGAGATGGAGGCGCCGCCGAAGAGACACCATGGAGCGGCGGGTGAAGGAGGGAGAGAAGAGAGAGATGAGCGTTGGTAGCCTTAGAGACGACACGATATCAGGGAGTGGGCTAAATTCTGAGCCTTCGAGCTTTCTTCAGGGTCGGAAGAACAGAGATGAGGCTTCCGAAGGGGGTGTGTGGGTGTGTGTACGTGTTGGCGTGCATTGAGAATTATGGTCGTTCGATCTTTGTCGCTGTTCGATATATTATCTCGAGGTTGATCCGAAAAAGCCCAAAGACGGATTCAATTCAACAATTCAAGGATCATAAAATGGCTGATGGGTTGTTAAGCCCATTGTCGAAAAAAAGGGCTGATAGTAACATGTCCAAATATGTTCTTGACCCTAAAAAACGAAAACCCCATTTCTCTTCATATCAAAAACGATTATCTAAGTCGAAAAGATCCTTAAGATCATTAAAATAATTATAAAAGAAACTTACAGATGGGTCACAGGACGAAATTCAACCCGTCTTTCCTACTTCCTTAACCGAATTTGCTTGAAATTTCCAATTTAATGGATAGCTCTTTCCTTTTCTCGATCAACAACCGGGCTTTGATTTCTATCCTTGGTTTCCTAAGAAAATGGTGAATCCCACTTAGAATGTTCTACATTTTACATTTAATAAGAAAATATTGAAACATAGTTGCTCATAAAAACAAATTAAGAGACCTATGGCTTTACATTTAAGGAATCATTGTTTTTGTAACACTAAATATTTTTACTTAATTTCGTAATGGCCAAGATCCTAATATTTTAATCTCAAATCTTATAAGGATGCTACTTCTCTTAGTAAAATACCATAAATCATTTAGAGTACATATGGTAGCACGATGATTTAATACCAAAACAATATTCCAATACAATGAAAAGAAGCTCATGTTCTTATATTAAATGGGACTTAAAGTCAAATTTACCATATTTAATATTAAAAAAAATAAAAGGCCCAGAATTGATAGTAGAATATCCAATTCTAGTCCTTGATATTTGATATAACGATTTTGTCAATGAAGGCACTAAATCTTATAAATGTAAGTTCATTTTCTCCCATTTTTCTTACTAATTAATTTGTTTGCTCTTTTTTTTTTTTTTTTCCTTTTAGCCCATCACTTTTTATATAATGTGGCAAGTTATGGTTGGTCTTCAATGACAAACTATCATTCATGAAATTGACAAAACTTTTGCCTATGGGTAGCAAGTCAAATGTGCTAACCAAAATATAACTAGACTAAAACACACATATCAAACTGAACTGGGAGATTGTTTTCCTATGTGACTGAAGCAAGGTTATTTTCTTGAATAACAATGATCGGAGTTAGACAAATAATTGTTTAATTTAACATTAAATACTAAAAAGAATTGAGTTGGCAGATAATAATTGCTACAGGGTGCACAATCATTGTACAATATTTAAAAAAAGTTTGCTAGTTAAATAAAATAAATTAAAATAAACTTTTCCCTTTTTTAAGGCTACTCTTCTTCCAGCATAAACACCACCCGACAATCCAAAACATTAGTGTTTAACGTGAATGTGACACCGATATATGCTATTTCTAAATTATTAGCAATTAGAAAAAAAAAAAAAAGGATGAAGATTAAAGGGAAGAAAAAACAAGTATATTAGACTAAAATTTTGATTCATATGAACAAGTATATTATGTCTCCAAGAAAATATCTGAGCAGAGATTTTATTTATGCCAGTATGGATTCAAATGTTGGATGAATGAAAGATGAAATTTTAGGTCATAAATATATATATCACAAAAAGTAAAAGGTTAAGGCCAACAGGAATAATTAAGTTGATAAAATTTAAATATTTTATTTATAAAATTAAATTCATATTTAACTATTAATTTTTTTTATTGACTGTTTATAAATTTAATTTAAGTTTTTTTTTTTCTAAAATTTATTGTATATCATAATTTTGAAATGAAAAATTTTGCCGTCATTTTAACTTTTTATGTATAAAAAAAAAAAAAAAAAAGTGGAGAGTTTTGACTTTGGGTGCAAAAGGAAGTACCTTTTTGTTATGCCCGTAGTTTTTTAACCTAACTTTAGGCGACATAGCTGGGATGAACATGATCACCCATTCCCTTCACCCCCGTCAAATCCAACTCTATGTGGTCATAATTCTTACCCTTTTGGGCTGCCATTTATTAGTAGTATATTTTTCTATTTGCTAATATTTTCTATTTTGTTTGATTTCCTCATTTAATAAACCCATTTATTTCACTTCCTTTCAAATGTTCAAATTGATTTCATTTATGGTAGAGCGTCCCCCCACCCATATGCCAAAAACAGCTTAATAGACTTTGCAAACAAATAAAAATCTGGTTTTTAGGCCTCTCACAAGTAATTGTTTTTACCAAATTCCATGATGGTGGATATACTTTTATAATTATGCATCCATTTGTGTTATCTCTACCGAAGTACCAAACATTGTACCACCATAACCGATTACATGGTAACAAATTTAATTCATTTTGTTTTACAATTAACGAAAGATGTTATTTTCAAGATTTTCTGCTTCATGATTTATTGTCGTAATGTTTTTTTTTTCTTGTGATTTCGGTTATAATTTTTCTTTCTAAGCCTTATTTGAATTTAGGATGAAATTTTCAAAAAATAAATGATATGACTTCAAGGTATGTTGTAAATGAGAGTATTTCAATTATAATTTTTTTATTACAATGCTATAATTATCTAATCATAATTAAAAATATAATGCAGATCCACCAGTTATAAGAATGGATTTTACATAATATTTTGGTAGATTCTATATAACTCTAAACATGATTGGTTAATTGTAATACAATTATTATAGGTAATATGTTCTCACTACAAATGCCACTTTTTTTAATATTTATTTTTTCCCTATTAGTTATGATATACAAAAGATATATAACCAAAATACCTTTAAGATATAATGAAGCCAAGTTTGATATTACCTTATAGTACTTTTGATATCAAACCATTAAATATCACTTCATGAGAAATGAAAACATTTAATTTTAAATAGTAATTTTTGCATAAATAATGTCAAAATAACTAACTTTTTTTGTGAAATAATGGAAGAAAATAGAGAGTTTCCAAATTATTCAATTTCTACAACATCTTCAAATGAACACTTAATGTCTCTATTTATAGATATTAAATCTTAAAATTGTGTCCTTTTAATTGTATCATTTTAATCAAAGATCACTTCTTTTAAGTATAAATATACCTTTTTAAATCATTAAAGTTATGTTAATTCATTAGAATAATCACTTTTTTCATTCTAATATAAATTATTTTTCACGTTTTAAAAATTATAATTTTTCACTAGAATAATCGATTGCTCCTTACACGCAATCGATTTATATTTTATGTTTCTAGAATGTTTCAAGAAATATGACAGTTGACTTTTTCTTAAAGGCAATCGACTTTTTTTATTTCTAAAATACTCAAAAATTAAAGTAATCATAAAGTAATTAATTCCAACCATAACAGTCAATTGTCAAACATAAAAAGTTGACTATTTTTTTGATAAGTTTTGTATCTAGATCTTAGAATTTTTTTAAATTCATAGCAATTTACTCCTTTAGTATAAGTAGTTGTTGAGACGAGCCCATAAAAATACATCAAATAGCTCATACATATATATTATACACCACTTGAGCTAAAAATTTTAAATTATTAAGTTATTGGGTCTCTCTCTCTCTCTCTATATATATATATATATATAACATCTCATTCATATTTTTTAGTGATGTGAGATTTTTTACTCAAATGTAAACCTTATCCTAACAATCTCCTCCATTCACTTATGAGTTTTTTATCAAGTTTTACCTCGGCTCCCTTGTGCCAATAAGTCTTAGCAATACCTCATTTGGGCTAGGCAATCTTACATTTTTTGTGTACTTTTAGGTCAGAGCACAACACTTAATCTTGCTACCTAAGTTGTCTCAATGTCTCTTCAAGTTTACACTTCAGGTTGACTCAATATATCATCCAGTTAGATATTTCATTTTTACATATTATCATATATTTGTTACATTCAAGTTGAACATTTCAACTTTGATACCAATAGATGGAGAGATACGTCACACTTAGAGTTTACGAGAGCACACTAGAAAGCCTATACACATATATTGTACACCATTTGAATCCAAAAACTTAAATTATTAGATTCTTGGATTCTTTATATATATATATATATAGGATATCTCATTCACATTTTCTAATGACGTAAAATTTTTTACTCATATGTGAACCTTATCTCGATAGTAGTTAACTGCTCCTTAAAACTTGTATATGGTAGTCAATTAAGACAATCAACTACTCATTTGGTAAACCTTCTTCTATTGGTTTGTAACTTTTGATTCAATCTTTTTTTAACATTACTTCAAGATATTAAATAGCTTAAAGATGATTTCTTTTATAATTAAGATTTTACTTAATTAAATTATTTTAATATTTTAAAAATGTTTCTAACAAAAAATACATTATCTTATTAAAATTGTTATTTATTGAATATTATATTTAGTTCAATTTATTCATACAATCACTTTTAAATGCAATATTTAATAAGTTTGAATTCAAATTTTAATACTTATAATATCTTCTGTTATCATTAAACTATATCTTAATGTAAAAAATCGCTACTTATTGTATGCATAATTACTTTTAATTTTTTAAATCTCCATTATTTTCTTGTGATTTTTATCACATAATACAACGTAACTCTCTTTAATCCTTTTAATTTTTTTTATTCAGTTGTATTTTTAATGTTCATGTTTTAATCTTTAAATTAGAATCTCAAATTTTAACAATTGAAATATTTTTAAAACAAAAAAATCCATTATATATATATATATATTATGTGTTAGACTATCTTGACATCTATTATACGCCTTTTTTATGCATATATACATACTCCTTCGGTAGAGGGAAGATGAAAAATAGAAATTATAACAAGAAATGACAATAGTAATATCCAATTTATTTTCTTGACAATGTTGGTTGGCCTCCGAAGTTAAAAGTTGAAAAGGTGGTTATACCTAAGCACCCTCTAAACTTAATCTGTCTAATCATTTACAATATTTAATTAATTTGTTTCAAAAAGAAAAAGGGTAAGGTAGCAAGAAACAAATAGACATTTTCAAGAAAAAAAAAATTGCTCGTATGGAATGTAGACTCTAAAGAAGAAAAGAGATAAAGAGAAAGAATAAATCACAGCCAAAAAATAAAAATCTCAAAAATATCATCACTCTTATTGAACCGGACCCCCCAACCTTCCGTTCTTAAAAAAATAAATAAATAAGACATTTCCTTCCTCCAAATTTCATTTAAGGTTTTTTTTAATAGGAAACAAACTTCAATAAAAAAATAAAAATAAATACCAACAAATAATTGATTTAATTAATTAAAATTTATTTTGTTGTGAAATAGAAAAATTAAATAATTTATCTATTTCAAATTAAAAAAAAAAAAGGTAACAGACGGAGTTAATTTAAATTTTCACGGGCATGCCAAAGCTTTCAGATTTTGCTTGCATTTTTGCTGTCCCATGATCAGTAAAAAGTTAAATTCCATTTATTGATGAAGACATGCTGCTCTCCACAAAAATCTCCTTATCTATCATGAATTTGGTGACAAAGCGAAGTGGCAAAATGGCAAGGCCTAGCTTTAAATACAAAATGGTATAAATAGAATCATCTTGGTGAGATATTTGTTTGAAAATGAAAAGTTACTACTCTTTTTACTATTGCTTGTTTTCATTATTCCTTTTCAATTATTACAGTTGATCAGGGTATTTAATATCTACATCAAAACAAATGTGTTAAGATTTTGAAATTATGAATATGCATTTAACTCCATTGATCAATGCATTTTTTAAAAAATAATATTTGAATTCTCTTATTTCAAATAAAAATAATAATAATTATGAAAGCAAATATATGTGTGAAAATTTATATTGCAACGAAAATTAATACTAAAGGTTCATTTGAGAACCTAACTGAAGATTAACCATAATACGTATCTTTTGCCATGAAAGCTTTTAAATCGGTATTCCAAATAAAAATTTGCAGAACAACAAAGTGTTTGATAACCAAAATTAAAAGGGTCTAAACGCAAATCCAAACATATCGACGTGAAACCCTGCCATGGCCATATAACCCATTGATCCTCGACAACGTTACTTTGCAAAGAATTCCAATCACACGTAATCCTAGAAGCAACTAAAATTTGCCTTAAAAATAAAATTGTCAAAATAAATAAATAAATAATAACCCAAAAGTGGAGCCCTCCAATTGTTGGTAAGGTGAGGGCAAAACTACACACCATGCCATACCACAAATATACCGGACACTTCATTCACACAAGCAACGAAGAAAACATTAAAAATAAAATGGAGGGGCAGAATTTTCCTCGAATCCAAACACTCATTTTTATTATTAGGGTTTGGTGGGATTTTTTTTTCCTTTTTCATATTTTTTTTCTTCTAAGGAAAACTATAATAACAATTAATATTAATATTAGAGAGAGAAAAAGGAAAAGTGAAGTTAACGCCAAGCGGATGCGACGGTGAGAGTTCGGCCCATCCAACCAAAACTCACCCCTCCGTTTTCTTCTTTAACGGTGAATCCCGGGTTGACTCGCTTACCATAAATGAGTCCGGCACGCATCGACTCTGCAACATTTTGGCTCAGTGGCTTTAACTCGAACCCCGCCATGCTCATCCGGGCCCTCCACTTCCCGAAAACCTCGCATCTCTCAACGCGATCCCTCCCCTCACACGCAACTGAGTTGGCAATTTTGCGCATTAGCGCTTCGTCCAGCTTCACTCGTTCCGGTTTCTCCCTCGACACAGTCAACTCAATCGACTCAAACAACGCTCCATAATATCCACACGCTTCTCCCACCCGCGATGCGAACGGCGCCGTATTAGTGTTAATTTCTTGTTCCACTAATGTCACCACGCGCGGCGCCAATCCTTTCACGCGACGGAGAAGCTCGTCTCTCGGATTTTCCACGGACACGCTCTCATCGGGCATTCGATAAAGCTTGAACGCGAAATTAACAGCCAATGGCTCGTCTGGTTCGCAACCGAGCGACTCGCGACTCAGATCGCTGAGTTTAAGACCCGCTACCACATTAAATTTCAAACAAATTCCAAATCGGTCAGCAATTTGACTCAGCGTATCGTCAACCATCTTCAGCCTCTCATCCCCACCATTATCAGCAATAGCTGTAATCTTTACCATTGCAGGGTTCCCTCTCCCACGCTCCGAGAGCGCGTGGAGAAGATCTCTATATTGCCCTCCTTGGCCAATATCAAAATCAATAACATGTAACTTATTACAGCTTGGTTGGTCCAAAGTGGCATCCAGGATAGCCATATGAGCAGCCAAGAACCCGAGCTTAAAACAAGGAGACCGATCATAAAGCAACTGAGTCGCAGCAGCGTGTTCCTTGCTGAACAACTCAGCCACCGGTGGCGTGTTTTCTAATGAGTTAACCCGCGATTTAAGAGCCAACAACATGCACTCCATCAACCTCTGCTCTGAATTCCCTTTACCGTTAGCCACTTGAGCTAATCGGGTCAGGATCTCGTTAACGACATCAATTTTGCCCTCGGAAATAGCTGATGCGGCCTCCATTATTGTCTGCTTTGAACAAGTCGAAGAAGGAGAAGCCGCTGATGACGTGGACGACGACGATGAAGTAGTTGAAGAAGTAGGCGATGGGGCAATCGGGTTGTTAGGGCTGCCAGAACTGACCAAGTTTTGTATAGTTTCAGACCACTCGCTGTTGTTATTGGTAATCACCGAAACCGCATCTCCTTCCTCGTCGTTGTCGTCGTCTAACAACTGTTTCTCCAGCTCTTGAAGCTGATTCATCATCTTTTTTTCCGGGTCTTGCGCCTGGACCACCCGTCCTTGAACAGGTTTCATGAACTGAGCGCCTGATAAACCAGGGCTCACGGCCTGGATTGTGGCTCCGGAGGTGATTCCAAGACGAAGTTGCTGCGGCCTCAGTTGTTGTAAAAGCGGCACTCCGTTTCGCTGCGACAAGCAAGAAGGAGAAGAGAAATTACTTGTAACGTCTGGCAACATGTTGGAAGACATATCTGTGGGAGATAACGGAGAAATCGGAGAAGCGTTCTGGTAAGTTCTGGGCTTAACTGAACGGATATAAAGACTACTGAGGCCGGCATGATTGTTCTGGAGTTGTTGCGTTTGGAAGTCAGCTAGTGTTCGCTTGCCGATGAGGCTGGGTGTGGCTCGATTCATGATCTGAGACGCCTGGTCCACGAAGATTCCATGGACTTGTGGCCCGTACGGTGCAGTGGGTTGGTTGTTGCTCATGATGCCAGTTTTAGCCACGGATCTGCCTGTTATTCCACCGTAAAAATCTGAGCCGCCCCCAGAGAACCCCGATGCCATTTCCCTCCCCTCTCCTTTCTCTCTTTAGAGAAGAATTCACAGAGAAAAAAAAAAGACGAAACAAGAGTTACAAGAATTAGCTTTTAGAAAAACGCATTACAAAAGATGAGAGAGAGAGAAAGATTTCGCTTATGGCGTAGAAACGATTCCCCTGAATATAAAGGAGAGGGGTTAATGGAGAGGGAAAAAATAAAAGGGGTTTCCAAAATCCAACTAGCTCTTACCCGTCTGGTTTTGGTGGCTTTCGGTTTTCTCTTTAAATTAATGAAGAAATGTGAATATTGTTTTTCTATGGGATTTCATGAAAGATAGAAATCAGATCACGGCCGTTCATTTCATCGTGATTTGGCAGTTCTTGATATTCTTTTATGACAGCTTGGGATTGCTTTGATTAAGACCAACTCTTCTTCATTACACGGATATAACTGCTCTGCGAGCTGTTTGAAACAGCACCATATGTCTTTCCCGAGCGTTGACTTCACGCATCAATGGGAAATTGAGAATGCAACAACAAAATATGGGAATGTGGCTCCACGCAATGAACAGGATCGTCGGACTTGAATTTCAATTGTGTGAAATTCTAATGAACTTTGTTGGGTGTTTGATCACCTGACAGGACAGTTACCAACTGTTTAAAAAATTTAACGAAAAGAAAAAAATTTAGGTTTGATAATTTATATATAATAATATAAAATAATAGTAAGTTATGTGTTTATATTTCCTTTACATAAAAATATGTTTAATAATTTATGTGAATATAAAAAAATAAAATATTTTTTATTAAATTTATTAAAATTTTAAATTATATTTTTTATTCATTTAATATTATCTTATGGTATTTTAAATACAATCCACAACAACAAAGAAAGCTATCCTGCAATAAATCGAGCAATGAGGTTGAGCTTTGAGGGAATTTGCGGTAACTGCCCCGTCAGTTTGAAACTTCTCAAAACTTGTTCGCTGATTCGAAATTCCAGTACCTCGGTTTGTCCTAAGCCCTAACAGACGATTCCCGGTTGATTCTGGTGGGTTTTACCGACACCTGTTCGTTGCACACGTTACGTCTCCAAGGAGAGAATTTCAAATCCACAAAAGTTGCCTACGTTGGCCACGCCCCAACCTTAAAATATTCATTCCAACACACAAAAATTTTTTTAAAAAAATTCCAAAATACAATATAAAATTTAAGCTCACAGAAACAACTGTTGAACTCCGTTTTTCTTCAAATTAAAGTAAATTCGCCGGACAACCTTTTTAAACAAAATGACCAAATTGCCACTAAAACAGTTAATCAGAATTAGCCGGTCAATTGAAACAAAAATCGAGTAACCAACTATCGTCAAACACTAGAATCTACAATCAGCATTTATTTTGGAAGAATAGTTTGGGACCCACGAATTTCTTTTTTTTCTTTTAAATTGAATGGGTAAATATCAAGTGCTTTAAATTTAAAGCACCGGAAAAAGATGCAAAACGGGGCAATCATTGATAAATTAGAAGCTCCAATCAGGATTTGCAGTGCATCCAATTCCATTTCAACAAAAGTTTGTGAATAAATCAAAAGTATCTTGATAAGGAGTTCTTTCATTGGTTCATCTGTCAAATGGAATTTTCTTTTAATTCTTTTTTTCTTTTTAAACTTTATGAGCCAGTTTAAACTTTGAACACTCCAATTTATCTAGCATTACGGTTACATAGTTGGACTTTTTTTTTTTCCCACTGTTTTTTAGACTTATCCATTATATACTAAAATTTCTTATAAAATGTGCTAATTGGAAATCTAAAGCATTGACCTCTGGCTGAATTCACTGTAAATAAAATGCTTTAGAATAATCATCATACATCCAATTTAAACAGCTATGTTCATTTTTTATTTTTTTTAAAAAATAATGCAATTAATTTATATAATTATTTTTAAAAAATAATATTTGATAAATTTGAAATTTAAATTTTTTAACATAAATTTCTTATTTTATTTTCAAATTGCATTTTTCTTTGTATTTTTTTTAAATTGGGAACTGAAACATTCAGTTCTGAGTTTGGTCTTACGGAGCTAGAAAAAAAAAATTATTTAGTTGGAGAGAGTAGAATAAGTGGAATGAGAATATGGGAGGGATCTCTTGTGTTGTTTTGTAATTCCAAGATTCCTTAGGTTATATTACAAGGTGAATTTTTTTGAAAGGCCGCGCTGAGTTGGGGAGCGTTTGTTAGCAAACAATTGAATTGGAGGAGCATAATGAATGTGGTCCAACGCCAAAAAAGAACAATAATAATAAGGTGGAAGTAAATTGTTGCTTATTTATTCCACTTTTCACCAAATTGGTAAAATGCCAATTAAGAAAACATTATTAAACTTCTATTGAGAGTGATCTGCCGTCCCTTGTCTTCCAATTTTCTTTATTTTTTTCAAATATAGATGTGGCAGTTGGCCAAGTTAATCATGTTTAGATTAAGTCATTTCATGTTAAAAAACTTTTTACTTAATTCAAATTTGATTTATTCGATTTTGATTATTGATACTAAAATTCAAACTTTAGGCTTATTAGATGAAATTTTTTAAAGATGAATATATAAATCAATTGAATTAAATTTTAAATTTAATTTAAATTAATTTAAATTTAAAAAGTGTCAAGTTAATTTTTTATATCCTTGAGTTTGAATTGTTTTAGATTTGAATTTGATTTTTTTTTTCAAATCAAATAGATTTGGGTTCAATTTTTGATAGATTTGATAGATTTGCAGGTTTAAGTAACAATTTTTTTATAGATTTGCAGGTTTAAGTAACATTTGCTAGCTTCACAACATATTCAAGAATTCAAAATATTATTTGGAACAATTAACTAATCATCCATAAGGTGAATTAATTATCATCCTGTATGATATCAATTTTTATTTGAACAAATCCATTAATTGGTCTTAAAATTGATTAATAAATTATTAATCCACAAGCTTTTGTTTGTAGTTAGTATATATATATATATATATATATATATATATTAACAAGTTGGTTGTCACCATTTTTCTTGGAAGAGTATGTTGTCTTTTTACTTATTCTCATTTTTTCTTCAACCATTTTCTTTCATTCATTTTCTAGCATTTGCAATTATGAAAAATGGACTTTACGGTTGCGTAATCCAATCTACTAGTAGACATGATAATTTTAGATACGATACGATGATATGATATAAAAATATGACATGATACAAATAATATTTTTAATTTAATCTTGTTATATAAGTACATATTAATATATTTTTTAAATTTTATTTAATTTAATATAAACATATAAAGATTATTTTAATTTTTAATCTTTTAATTATGATATTTAATTAACTATTTAATATCATATAAAAATTATTTTAAACATTTAATTATGATACTAATTTAATAATTATTTTAAAATTATTTTATAAATTAATAACATAAATACAATATAAATATTAATATTAGTCTTATGCATTATTATTTTATTTTTTAATCTTTAATAGTTTATCATTTTGAATTTGATACTAAAAATTAATATAGTTATGTAATATATATTAAAATTTAAATATATATACATTAAATACATATTAAATGGGTATTATAATTTTTTTATTTTTTAATATGTAAATACTTTTTTATATTATTAATATACAAATTTTATTAGGTTATAAATTATGGATAGTTTATAATTATTTATTATTTTCAATTGTGTTTTTGTATATATTTATGTTAGTCATGCCTATTCGTATATATCAATGTTAATTATATCTATTTGTGTATATATATGTTATTCGTGTTCATTATGTAATTTTTAAATAAATTAATTATACACCTATTAATCATGTCACGTCATATGTAACACGTATAATAAATTTATTATATTCGTATTTATAATTTAAATAAGTTTTATAATTTATATCGTGTTAATATTTTAATAATTTATATTATTATATATATAAAATACAATACAAAATATAAAAAAATAAACACAAATTGTCCGATTTATCTACTAAAGTGAAAAAAAGGGAGAAGTGCTATTGAAACAAAGATCCAATATATATATATATATATATATGTATATATATTCATCCCAACAACAATTTTCATCTCTTTTTCCTTAACTTTTCCAAAAAATATAAAATAAAAGTTTCAAAAGAAATTATTTCATTCAAACCATAAGATTTACGGGGAGGGGAAGCAATTGTTAGGAACAACCTCCTAACTTTTTTATAACCTGATTATTGCCCTTGATAAGGAGGGTGAAAATCAAAGGGTCACTCACTAGTTGGAGGCTATAGCTGTATTTCATCCGAGTCAAGCGCAAACTCTCGCCCCATGTTAGTCACGTAGATTTGTCCTAGATTGACTCTTTACGGTGGCAAAATCATACACTCAAGTCTGTAACGCGGAACTTGACGCTTAAATCTTCAAGTAAGGAGGAATATATATATATATATCTTGATTTTAATTTTTAAGGATTAATATCATAAATAATTTTTAAATTATAATAAAATATTTAATGTGATACTTGAATTTTAAAAATTTATGATGTATTACTTAAATTATAAATATATTAATTAACGTGGTATCCACTTTTAATATGTTTAATTTTAAATGATAACATATGATAGATAAAATAACTCTTTAAATATTATTTTAGTTGACAAATTCATAATTTATATATTATTTTAGAAATTTAAAAAATTTAGATATCATATTAAATATTTTATTATAATTTAAATGTCATTCATGACATTAATCTTAATTTTAATCCAAAAATAATAAAAAAAAAACTATAAGACTAACATTAATGTAAGTAGTACCACAAATATATAAATATGAGTACATATATATATATATATATATTACACCAAATATTTATGTATTTTGCAATTCAAACATGTGGCTACTAATTGAGATATACTCTAAGGGGCAGCAAATTTGTACAAATCGATCAAGTAAAACCTCAATTATATAGTAATTAATATTTACACTTCTTATTTGCTTTTTATTATTTGAGAATATTAAGGATTAAATATTGATCATTAAAATTAAAATTTTAGTATTTTATTACCAGATCATATAACTATTGATTTTCTTATTTGTTTTTATTAATTAAATTTTAATTATAAAAAAAGATTAACATGAATGAATAACATTGCATATATAAATGGAGAAAAGAGAAGTTAAAGTGGCATTGAGGAGGTTAAATCATGAAACAAAAGTGACGGGGTTTATGAAATAAAATAAGATTACCTCACATTAAGTGATCACATTCAAAATAAAACCAAAAGAACGAATTTAAATTAATTGATTTGTAGTAAATAAAAAGAAATAGATTAGATATATTATGATATATCCTTTTTACTATAAGAATGACACAAGTACCTCTCACATTCAACCCATCTATTACTCTCTCTCTCTCTTTGTTAGGTAAAGGTGATGGGCACAAAGGACCACAGTTATAGAAGCAACTGCCTGCTTCCCACCC